GTTGTCATAACTTGACACTGGTTAACCGCACACAAAATTGTTATGAGAAAGAAATGTGATGAGAAAGAAATGTGCGCTAGTGTTCTCCAACGAAAACTGTCATACATTATTTTGTGACATAATCAATGATTCGCATTATAGAAAGGTTTAAATGAACCAACCTTATAAGTTCACGTATGCACTAGAGGGTTAATAATGAATTTAACTTCTCTTATGCCTTCGTGAGAAAAACTCTCTAAGTTCAATGTTCCGTGTAATGGAACCCAGAGAGAAATGTTATATGGCACACTTATCTCAAATTCAATTTTTCAAGTAGTAAATCTTCAAATGGAATGAGAAAAGCAAATACTTGAACTGAGCTTGGGTCATGTGTCAGCGTTACTTGGGTAGCAAAGAAGATTTTATTAGGAATAAAGTGTGTGCACTGTACAGTTTATACCTAAATTGAAAACAAAATTGCTTTTTTTCTGAAAATCCATATTTCACTGTTCCTTGCAACATGTTGTTCATTTTGAAGTGGTCAAATTGACCGTATGCTCGAGTAATAGGGCAACTCAAAATACAAAAAAACTGCCTTTACACTCAGCCGAAAGGCAATTTCTTTCATGTTTGTGTGCATTAGTTCAAATAAATAGTGTACAATTTTCCAAGCCGTTAGGCTGATTTATGTTGGTTTGAACACACCGATTTTTGTGTGTAAAAAATGAAGCAGATTTCATGTCAAAACAATGAAGCCAACAAGATAATAAAACAATACGAAGATATTTTTTATGAATTCCATTTTGTAGAAAGAATTTTTCTGAACATTTCAAATTCGTCGTCGCCGTAAGGAATGAGAAGTTATAGTGATATGACTAAAAGTAGACAAAACTAATTTCAAGTACGTCGTCACTGGTCACCACCATTGACATCGGTGATTGTGAACCCCGTCAGCATTTTGTGGTTGAAAAACTCGCCAAATCTGTATAAAAACAATGTTTGTTCATTTCATATGTTTAAAAAATCGCCGGTTTTATTGAACAAAAAATTTATTTTCTTTAGAATTCTTAGCTATTGTCCAAGATTTTTCATCCCTACTTGGCTTCTTTAATGTAAATATTTGGATCGGTTTTCGTTGGTAAGCAGACACCAACGATGGGCACATTTTCGCCACTTTGAGCATAGAATTCATCGCGAAACTTTACAGCATTTTCGTATCCTTTCGCCGTGTCAATAAAATAGAAAAATGCTTCGATTGGAATTGTTTTGGTGTCGTTTTCATCCCAACCTTCAAGTCGAAGTTCACTATTGGAGAACGCGTATCGTGTACCATTCTGTAGGTAAGAATTTGCTTGCATAGCCAGTGCGAAATTTTCCGCTGCGGTTGCCTCTTTCGATGTATCAAAACCGCATTGAGAAGTGGCAAATTGTTGTTGATCTTCCTCTAATTTTTTGAAATGTTCCACCCACATTGAAAATGTTGTAATATTCTGAGCATCGCATTGTCGACTCAATCCGGTTGCGTCATTTCTCCGTGCGCCACAACCGCGATCCTTACGCATATCAGTACGTGCATCGATTGGGAATGTACATAAAACGTTTTGTGTTATCTTGTGACTTGGCGCTTTTAAATGCGGATACAAAATGAATCCAGCATCATAACCCTTTCCCAACCACGAAAATGGATGATCGCGACGTAAGAAACCGAATGCAAATGAATTCTTTTCCTTGTCAGATTGTTTTAAGCTCCATGCAAATTGCTGTCCGCCACTCAAACGAATACCTCGGATAATAATCCCCGAACACTTGAATACTGGTTGCTTCTGATTTTTAGTATCGAGACATTCGGTTATCTCGTCGTTAGCACGTTGCGTTAATTCATCGGCAATATTTGCAGCGCATATTATTACCGAAAAACTAATCATGATTAACACACTTAATTTTGCAAATGACATTGTGCAATGACCTTGATTTGGCTGTTTTTTTGTTTTAAATGATCAAAATCAGTATTACGTAGTTTTCTCAGAAGTTGGCGTTCGAACACAATTAATTACACTGTGACTAAGACCAGGAGTGACTGTGCTTTCCCAAGCGCAACTCCACACTTAGCTTCTAAATGTGACACCGTAGTAAGTGTGGGCAATGGGCATACGTTTTGCGAATAAGCGACAAAGAGAATCGAAACAAGTGTGCGTGTATTAGTCGCTACATTGAGTAGCATCGCATCAGGCTACTCACTACCACACGCGCACTTGTTTCCATTCTCTTTGTCGCTTGGGTTTATTCAGCGTTCAACAATTTTCGATCGATAAAAAAACAGAATATCGCTAATTATCTCAAAAAAACATTGTTCACACGGTATACGTGCAAATAGTTGGCACCATATAACAGCGCGCTCATGCAAACTTACCACAGCTATTTGCGCTTATACATGACGATACACTTTTTGCGACAACAACTTAGGCAACAATGTCTTATCAGCAGTTTAATCATGGGACGTGTTGAGTGGCACGAAGAAGGTTTTATCAAAATCAATAGTCAGAACAGACGATCAGTACTCATCAATATCGATTCCTAAGATAATAACTTCAATGGGTTTTTACATGTTGTCGATATAATTCAAAGAAAATAAGGGATGGGCATGACTTCTATGCGAATTTGTGAAAAGAGAAAGAAGAATTTCTTTGCAAAGAAATTGGATGCTCAAATTTCAAAATTTGCAATAATCTGATGTTAGTGTAGTTTTGAGTCGATGGTCAATGATATGGAGGAAGTTAACCCAGGCCTCCCAGAAGTTAACCCAGGCCTCCCAACCCTTGTCAGAATGTATTCTTGGCACATATAAATGATAACGACTTTTTGCCGAAGGTACTTGAGCGATAATCGGCTTTTTTGGTCGTATGCCTACATGAATCATGATTACAATAGCTACTTCAGTGCAACAGTCGGCAAAGAAAGTAAACATCTTTTTTTACTAGAATTATTCCATTCATGACGTGCAACATGTGTAAACTGTAGAGCAGTCAATGCCAGATAGCTGAGGATATATGCTGAGCATAGAAACTCAGCAAGCTGAGATTGGGATATTTTGACTTTGTGACGTGCTATTCAAACAAATTTATGATGGAGGGGAGTTTGGAACACATTTTCCATTACACACCGTGACTTCATCAACACTCCACCAAAATTCCACATAAATTTGCACGAATAATGGCAAGTCACAAAATCCAAACTTCCCAATCTCAGCTTGCTGAGTTCCTATGCTCAGCATATATCCTCAGCTATCTGTCATTGACTGCTGTAGAGTCATGTTAAGCTCAAAATGGATTTTATACACTTCACTTCAAATATCCATTGTTTTCATTTGTTGTCTTATCGCGCAGAGTCCCCATATTAATTGCTAATTGTTGTTATCAGTTAAAATAAATCTGAACTATCGTTCAGGTACCTCTCGACGATTAATCTCTGATTAAATCGAGTTAACTGGCAATATTTTCAATTGAGTTCATTGCATTGGACTGACAAAGAAGATACAGTTGCAGTTACAGTTTTGTTTAGTCAAAATTGGCTTTTCTACGACAATATTTCAAGCGTATTTTTAATGCATTGGTCGCAAAAAAACATCATAACTTTTGTTCTATAGAGCAAATCGAAAAATTCAAACAAAATGCTATGAAACGGATTCCATCACAGTGTTATGAGCTAATATCATAAGAATAATCATTGGGATTAATTGAACTTGACGTTTCCGTGCTCATTTTTGCCGATTTCATCAAACTTTGGCACAAGTGTCATAATCACAAACGCAACCAATATTAATGTATTGCCTAAAAATTATGCGATTCATACCTGAATCGGCGAAATCATTGTTTTAGTTTTGAAAAGTTATATTCCATTGTTTCTTGATACATTTTGTTCATTTTCACCGTATGCTTTCACTACAAGCGCCACAACAAATTCGAAATAATACATATGTAGTCAGCAGAAGGGCAATTATATTCGAATCAATTCATACACGCAAAAGCAGTCCAATGAAAAAAAAATCATTTCAAACTAATTTAGGTTGAAATCCAAAGACTTTGTTATGTGAACAATATAGTGAATTTTAAGTGAAGCAAAAAAACTTAGCAGTTTGATATGGAACTATTTGCATTGTAGAGAGAATTTTACAACAGATTATGAACTTTCAAAAGAGTCATGTCAAATGAAAGGAATTTTAGTTTCTTTCTGATTTTCTTTCAGTCGAACATTGAAAGCGACAATGTTTCTCGACTTTGAGTAAACTGCTCGATGTGAACGTTATATGAAATCAATCGAATAAGCAATTTTCAATTCGCAACACAAGTTTTTTTTTTCGTCATCCATAAAAACGAAGCGTTTGGTCAACTTTCACCGCATATGTGTTTGAGTTTTGTTATTTTTTCGTTTCACATGAAAATAGTTTAGATAGCTTAGATAACTTGATTTCTGTTAAATGAAGAAATGAAGTTGACTTTAGGTCGAGACAAAAAGAAAATAAGTTTCTCTAGACTAGCAAAGAATAAAGAATTTTCTAAAAGATCAAGAGCATTTCGATGGGAATGAAGCCCATTCATTAGAACATCGCGATTTTCGTTGAAACTAGCGTTGAAAGTAACAGAGTTGCTTACCTTTTTTCAAGAGTCTCACCATTTTGTCAACATATTTACCGTTTTTCTTTGAAAATCAAACTTATTTTTTGCTCTTCTACGTTTTCTTCAAGTTCTTACCTTAATTTCTTAATTTCCGAAGTCTTATCTTACCAATAAACTAGTGCAATTCTCAGCCGACGTTTGAACTGAAATCGCTTAAATCGCAAAAGACCAAACAACAAAAAAAACATGATTTAAAAAAAATCCTTGATTTTTTTGAAGTGTTCAATTTTTAATGGATTTAAACAAAATGCACATAATTGCGATTAATCCGATTGAAAGAATTTCTACACTTTGAAGACGCTTATTTTTGACCCACACACAAAAAAAACAAAGGAAGGTATAAAAAAAAGTAGAACAAAGTAAAAAAAGGTAAAAAAGTAAAAGAAGAGAAGTGAAAAACTCAACATGAAACTTTGAAAATCAAATAAAAAATGAACCGAGATTTGTTGATCGAAAGAAATGAATTGATTTAAACAAAAATGTTAGAAAATTTCGTTTGAATTAACGGTTTGGATAGCGTTAGAAACTTTACTTAGGATCATATTGTCGACTTGATTTTCATCGCTTTGGACAATGTATAGCGTTTTTGACAAAATATAGCGTTCGTTGTCTCTATTTGGCGTCTGGATTTCGTTGGATGTCTTTGTTTGCTCATTCTTAATGGCATTGAGTTCGGAGCGTTCATCATTTTCAGCAATATTCGAAGTAACGGCAATTGTATTCGTTGGTGTCGTAGTTTCATCCAAAGATGCAGTAGAAACTTCATTTTTTTCGGTTGCATTTTGATCGGGTTTTACCAAACGACATTTCATCGGAACTAACATAGAAAACAAGCAGCCCCTTTTTGAGTCATCCTCGTTCATACGTGCACACGACCATACTTTGTCGGTATGAATGCTTAGGAATAGCGTTATTTTATTGAAACCGTTGATTTCTTCGATGGGGTTGTCTTGAAGCAAAATCTGCCCGAAGAAAAGCGCGGACATAATATTTGCATCAATGGATTTAATGAAATTTTTCGTAAGATCTAGTGTAATATCTGATGTTTCAAAATCTTTAATCGATCCAAAGGTTCCTGGTTCAATTTCAGTTAATTCAGTTCGCGATAAATTCAAATAATTCAGATACACGAGATCAGCGAATGTTTTGTTGTTGATTTTACGGAGTGGATTTCCACTCAAATCCAAATATACCAATTTACACAGATATTTTAAGTCATTCGATTCTACTCGCGCAATTTGATTCGACGATAAATCCAAATGAGTCAAATACACTTGTTCACTAATTGGTTTGTCAATTTTTGTGAGTCGATTGCTTTCCAAGTTGAGCTTTTGCAAATTAAAATCGCCGAACAATGCAAAATCACTGATTGTATAAATTTTATTGAACGAAAAGTCGGCTTCGATGAGATTGTCGGCTTTGTGAAGCAAAAATGATGGGATCTGTTCGATTTGGTTGTGTGACAGATCTAAGGTGACCAATGCGATGAGTTTATTGAATATTTGTGCGTTCACTTCACTGATGTTGTTGCGAGAAAGATTTAAATGTTTGATCTGACTTCCACCGTGCACAGGGTGTGAAACGAATGCATCCGGATCAATTCGTTCAATTTGATTGTTTGAAAAATCAACGTTCGTTAAATGCATACAGTATAGGAATAGTTCGGCTGGAACTTCCGTCAATTGATTGTGTGAGGCGTTAAATATTTCCAATTGACCAGCAACATCAAATGAGTGCGATCCAAGCGATTTGATTCCAACTTTTGATACGTCAAACGATTGAATGTTGGGATATGCAGAGAAAATTCCCCGTGGAATTTCGTCAACTTTACAATTATGAAAGGAGATCGTGTGAACGTATTGGTTTTGTTCCCCATAGGCGAAACCGGGTGGTGGTTCGGTGAAACTTCTCGAAATGAGGTTAGAAACTGACTCCTCGCAATCTCCTTCACATTTGAATGTTAAATTAAATCCATTGAAGGGTTCAAACGCAGGAATCCCGAATACGTTACAATTCACCGTTAAAATGGACAAAACCAATAAGAGCACGCAACAAACGAATTTCATTTTGATTGTTCACTTCAAAACATTACAACGAAAAACACAGATTTTGGTTTTCAGTAAACACAAACTGAACAGTTTGAATTGAATAATTTATTCTGACGGAGGAATGGATTGATTTGATGACCGAATGGTTTCGAAAGCAACACTCAACTGAATTATGGCTGAATTGAAATTGAAAACGAATGCCAAATTGGAATTAAAAATGTGCTGTATGTAATCAAATCGAAGTATGCTAAAGGAAGCATGAATTCGCATTAAGAAAACAGCAAAGCACTCTTTCCTGGCCAATAAATAAAGAAAGACAGAATGAGAGAATGAAAAAAACTCCATTGCAAAGAATGAAATCGCTGATTCCACTAAAAAAACAGGTGCAACAGGAGAAATTTATCGTTTTTTCTGTTTGAATCGCTTACTTGCTTTGGATTGAATGTCCGTAAATTGAGCCATTGACTTGGGTAAATTGTTGAAACAGTGAAAATAATCAAACGTTCAACTTTTTTTGAATGAGACCGCCACGAATTTGAGTTCTTGAAAGACGTTCTTTGCAACGAAATAAGCTGTTTTTAAACGATTTTCATGGGTTTTTGGTTTGCACTTTATGCAACATTTTTAGTTTTGTTTGCAAAAAATGCCACCTTTTTCATAATATTTCAAATCGAACCATGACAGCGGCAGATGTCATTCACTAAAATATGGAACACGTGCAAAGTTTTCGATTTTTTACACATAACGTTTTTACTCAATAGAAATTTTTTTCATTGATGAAATGATAAATAAAGGATAGTTCGAACCAAACGATCATTTAGTTGTATTTGATCGAAAGGGAATGAAAAAGATGGTTTGTGATTTGTTTCGAAAACTACATCTAAATGTTTCTTGTTGCATGTTTTCCTGCATTTGATCATATTCGCAATAGATTGCACAGGCTCGTGTAATGCAAAAAAAATAATCCGAAGTTCATGGCATTTCGAATCAGCAAAAAAGTTATACACGCAAAATCGCACAAAATCGAGTTCAGTACTTCCTTTATCCTAACATTTCAACTAAAGTCTACGCTTTTCACTCACCTTTTCTGAAATAGTTGAATTTTTATGTCAAAATTGGAAGATAAATCGAAAAAATGACATTTTCGAAAATTCTATCGAAATATTCTATTCAGATCAAGACAAAAAATTGTTCTCTTCTATAGAAATGAAACCCAGTTTGCAAATGCTCGTCATAATGAAGAAGCCTTGTAATTTCAATGATCAGCATTGAAAGCCACAACCTACCACTCTTTCCGAATTTTTACTCTTTGATTTTTAAATTTGTGTAAATTCACATCATTTGCTTGCTCTTCTGAAATACAAAATTCTTTTACTCTAGTTATTAACAACCAGAGCTCATTGAAGACGTGGTAAACGCTGAAAAGAGACGGCACAAAAGAAACTCCTTTGATTCTACTCAATTTACACACTTTAATATAACAGAATGTATATGATTGAAATTAATCTGTGGTGGCCGTAGAATGGCTAAAGTTGAAAACAGTACTCCAAAATAAACACAAAACAGTTCGCATAAAAATAGAAATTGAACTCAATTTTGAATTATCATGTGGGTTGAATTTTGAAATCAGTTGAAATTTGGTAAAAATACTAATATTTTAAGCAAAATTTTCTAATTAAATCCCATAAAAATATCAATTTTCTTGAATAAAATTCAAAATATACACTTCAAATCTATTTCATTCAAACTACAGCTCACTGCATGCTAATGGGCTTTTTCAAATTGGTTCCAATATGAATGCTTGTGGTGACAAATAGTTCTGTGAAGTCATTCAACTCTTCAATTGGATTTTCATCAATGAACAGCATTCCAAGGGAATGTGACGGCGAAAAAATGTTACCATCCAGTATTTTAATGTGATTCTTTGACAGCCACAGTATTCTTAAAGCTTTGAACGATGAAAATGTCCCCGGTTGGATCTCAGTTAATTCAGTTTGCGATAAATTCAAATATTCCAAATTAGCCAGACCTGCAAATGTTCCGCTGTTCAATTTCCGAATTGGATTTTGCGACAGGTTCAAAAATACCAATTTCTGTAGATATTTCAAGGCATTTGTCTCCACTTTTGTGATTTGATTCGATGAGACATCCAAATGTGTTAAATATAAATTTCCGCCGATTTTTATATCCAGTTTCTTTAGATTATTATGCGATAAATTCAACACTTGCAAATAAAAGTCCTCAAAAAATCCAAAATGACCAATCGTTGCAATTTTATTGTACGAAAAATCAATATCGATGAGCCGATTGCATGTACGGAACAAAAATGATGGAATTTTTTCGATTTGATTATGTGTCATTTGAAGGCTTTCCAATGCGACGAGGTTTTTAAACATAGACACTGGCAATTCAGTGAAATTGTTGCGGGACAGATTTAAATGTTTGATATGGCTTCCCGAAGGGTGTAGAGTGAACGCGTCTGGATCGACCCATTCGATTTGATTATATGAAAAGTCTACATCCGTTAAATTGGGCGAATATCGAAGTAAAAATGCTGGAACTTCAGTGATGCGATTATGAGACGCATTCAATGCAATCAAATCAGTTGCAAAGTCAAACGATTCCGGTTGTAGCGATTGTATTCCAACATTTGATATGTTGAACAAATGAACGTCAGGATATGCAGAGAATATATTGTACGGCAGTTGAACGAATTCACAATTCTCAAAACTTATTTCTTCCACTCGTTGGTTTGATGCTCTCACAAATGTCGAGGAATCAGTGATTTCGTCCGAAAGTGACATTTTTCGATCGCCTTTCGGGCAGACAATTTTCAAACCCCTTATTTCATTATTATAATCACAATATTGATAGCTCAATTTGAAATCATAAGCAGATGCACAGTTCACGGCCAAAATGAAACCAATCAACACATTTTTTAAAGAAGCGATTTTCATTTCAAATTTGATCTTTTTGTTTTCTTTCGATTTATGAACATTGAACAATTTGAACTAACAATTGATTCAAAATGAATAGATGCGTTTTGTGACTGAACGGCTTGAATAGAAATTTTCAACTGAATTTCAGTCGAACACATTTGAAAAGTGAATGTGGTAAGATCCTAGCACAAGCTCCAAAGTGGAGCATGACATTGAAGTGAAAAATGCCAGAGACTAGGTTGTGAAATTGCTGATTTTGCGGAAGAATACGAATTTTTATTTATTTTTAGTCGTTTTATGTATACAAAATGAGGTAACGATGACTTTGCGAATTTAGAATTCGATGAAAATTCGGAATTATCTTTCAGTTTGAGTGAAATGATCAAGAAAAGTCTCATGAAAACGATACTTTGAAGCGCAATAATGGCCATGCAATACGCCTTCATATGGTTGCCTCTTTGTGTGCATTTTAACACTGGCGGAAATGTGGCTCGATCCAAAAGTTTCAGCTGTGGATTGTTCTTCAAATCTAAATGATACAAATCGGTAATGTGGTCAAAGGTATCGCGGTATACATCTCTTAAGTCATTATGGCTTAAATTCAAATAGTCTAGACACCAAACGTGTGCAAAAGTACGATAGTTGACTTCTTGAAGTGAATTTCCACTCAAGTCTAAATGAAGCAACTTTCTCAAGCTTCTAAAGGCGCCGTCAGCCGATTTCACAAGTCGATTGTACGATAAATCCAATTCAATCAAATTCGATACATGGTTGAAAATCCGTCGATCAAAATTCATCAGCCTATTGTGTGACAAATTAATTTTCTGTAAAAATTCCGCACGAGCAAATGCTGTCGTATTGATTTTTGAGATTTCATTGAAAGAAACATCGAATTCCAATATTTTTTCGCAATTTCGAAAAACAAACGATGGAATCTCGGTGATTTTGTTGTAACTAAGCTGTAGTTGTTTTAATTCTTTAAGATTTCGAAGGGTTTGATTATTTAATTCATCAATGCTATTATGCGATAAATTTAAAATCTCAACTTGATTCGGAACAGCAAAAGCAATTCAATCTACAGTCAAAGCATTTGAATATAATTCAGTAGGGAATTCGTTTATCAGTTTCAGTCCATTTTATCATTTTCATGGCCAAAAGCAGGATATACATATATAATATATATTATTATATATACTTTTTTCTCACATGTGAGGAAAAAGTTTGGCTTATACATTTGTTCATTATCAAAAATTCATTTATTACGCATACGCCTAATCATTGAGACTTGATGTAGAAAATGTGCCCAACGAGACATACGACATGCATTATTGGCTTGCCTGCCTTTTTATGGGAGTACATGAAAAGAGAAAAAGAAACAGAATGACGGCTAGAGAGGCACAAACAATTTATTTTCTGGATGTGTAATCGGTCATAGATAAGATTTGTGGGTGCGTCGTTTGCATCATTGAACAAGTTTTTTTAGCTTATCAAATTGAAAATACTACGAAGCAATGATTCAAGCAAAGGCATGAAAGAAGCTTGATAAAACGCGTAATGTGTTACACATTCGTCAAAATATTACGAATCAAGTCAGCAGCGAGAAGAAATCATGAAAGCAATGACTATAAATAAACGAAAATAGCAACAAGTGCACACGAATAAGTGAATTACGCAAGAAATCGACATTTCGACTATACTTACCTACGCTTTACAAGCCACTTTGCAACGACAGTTCAAGTTACCGTGAAATATGATCGCCAATTGTGATTTTTTCATACTCGTTCATTGTTGTGAATCATCGTTTTAAATAAAACAAAGAATCAGCCGGGAAGCAAAATTGAATCGGTTTTTAATTCAATTTCTTAATTTTTTTTTTCAAACGTGATTCTCTGCGTCAAATAGCCTTAGCCGAAAAACTAAAATTGGTCGGATTTTTTATTTCGGCTGAAAAAATAAAGAGCAAAATAAAAGCTAATTTGGGATTGAATAGAAAAACAAGCAAATTTTGAATTAAATAAAACATTATTATTATTCAACAGTCAGATTTAAAGTGTCGGCTTCATGTTTTTCCCTCGTTCAGAAGTATACAGTTTCGTTCAAAATACGCAAATAAAATTAAATAAATTTACACCAAATGTTTTTGTTTTTGTTTGTTTTTTTCTCTTATGAAGTTATTTTGATTTGTGAATTGAACCTGAAAACAACTTTTTTTTTCTCAAAAATTCCAAAACAGTCATTTCTCTCTAGAAAAACAAAAAATAATTGCAAGTAACTTCACTTCCGATTTTGCATAATGGTATATGATTTTTAATGTCATCAAATGACTCAAATTTTGCGAAAGAAGTCGAAAACTAAACTAAACAAATGAAGATAAAAAATGCAAAAATATCATCTCTCTTTAAAAACACCTCTCTGTGGATATATATAATCTAATTGTGATCCTCAATTTGAGAGCTGCATCCATTTTTCACAATTTCAATCACTTCATACGTGTGATTCTCAATTGAGTTCATTGATTGCGGCAACTCAGCCGGCTTAACTGTTTCCACGTAATATTTCACATCAAAGTCAGTTCTGTGTTCGTCTCTCTCCTTCTCGAGCATTCGTGTGTGATGAATGAGTCGTGTAAACAGCAGCGCTGCAATCGTAAACCCAACAGTCACTATGCATATCAGAAGGTATAAGTATTTCTTCACTAGCGTCAATTCGCATTCGCTATTCACGTGCGAGTGTGTGTGTTGTGTGACGTTGTGTCCGTGTTTTGTTGATATTGCACTTTTTTGCTTCATATTTCTTGCTTTAGCTTCCAATTGAGCACTTTTATTTGTTGCAATCACATTTCCTTCATAAAATTCACTATTTTTAAGTGTTTTAGCAATTGTCGCACTTTCAATTGGATTAATTGTCACCGTATCAGTAGAACTAATCGATTCATCAATCCAGGAAAACGTAGCATTTTCAATAAAATCCGATACAGATCCAGATCCAATGGTCCCATTCGTCGTTATCTCCCTGGTTTCATTCGCTGAATTGCATTCAATTCGAATCGAAATTGCGTCAAGGTGTTTCCATGTGATCGCATCGAACAGCTGATCTAAAAACGTGCAATTGAAACGGTTGCTATCGATGCCAATAATTTTCGTATTGGGAATTCGTAGGCTGGTAAATCCTCGTAGCTCACGCAGCTGATTATCGGCGATTACAATCAACTCCAAATAACTTGACTGCGGCGGAAGAATATCAGCATCCAAAGTTTTCAACATATTCTTTGACAAATCCAGAACTCGAAGGCTCAGCAGAGGTGAAAACGTACCCAATCTGACCTCTGTCAAGTTATTTCGTGATAAAATTAATGTCTGAAGTTTCAAAAGATTGCTGAATGTTTTATTGTCCAATTTTTCCAAGAAGTTACTTGATATGTCGAGAAGCACCAAATCGCGAAGGCTATCGAATGTGTCCGGTTTCAAAGCGTGGATTCGATTGCTTGACAAATCCAATTTTTTTAATTTCGAATGATTGTCGGAGAATCTTTTTTGAAACGTAGTGAGTTCATTGTGGGATAAATTCAGATATTCAAGTTTAAAATCGCCGGCAAATGCAAAATTGTCGATTTTCTTGATTTTATTGTACGAAAAGTCCACTTCAGTTAATTTTTCGTTTTTGTGGAATAAAAATGACGGTAATTCAACAATTTTATTGTGATCCAGCCGTAAGTGCTTCAATTGAGTGAGCTTTTGAAACATTTCCACATTTAATTCCACAATGTTATTGTGCGATAAATTGAGATGGGTCAAATGATTTCCATTGGCAAAAGCGTGAGCGTGAAATCGGACAATTCGGTTGAAAGAAAAATCAACGTCGATGAGTTTTTGAGCATTTGCGAATAAATTCGATGAAATTTCGCTGATCTTATTGAACGAAGCGTTTAAGTTGGTTAAATAATGGGCTTCAGCGAAGTCATCTGGATGTAGCGATACAGTACTGATATTTGCCATGTTTAAAATGCGAATGTTGTCGTAAATTTTGAACAATTTGTCTGGGATTTTTGGTAGCACGCAGTTTTTAAAGCTGACTCGACCGATCATAAACTTGTAAAATCCATCTTTACACTCGGTTGTGCGACACTTGCCTTGATTTAAACATATTGGCTTGACCCATGACGGTTTAAATAACGCCGTTTCACGATATTCTTTCACACAGACTAACGTCAAGTTACTCTCCGCATAATTGCCGTCGTCGTAATAACATTCGCCAATGTACTGATTTTGTAGAGTAAACACCACTTGATTCACGGTTGACATTAATAAAACAGTGAAAATGATGTGAATATCCATTTTTGCAGGATTGAACTGGAACGAACACTTTCGAAATGGAATGTCCTTTCAGAGTACACTCAAAATAACAATCAAAATATCCGAATCACCGATCTATTTAATCAAATTGATCACTTTTTGATGAGGCTTGTCAAATGTTTGTCTTCGATGTTTTCAATTGATCGAAGTACTTGAAGGAATTCGTAAGCATGAAGAACTAAGATAGTGTGAAAGTGTTGTAAAACTGAAAAAATGCAGTCGATGAGCGTGAAAAAGTTGATAGGTTCAAACAAGTCGATGATTTTAAGTCAAACTATCTCGATTCACTTTCCAAAGACTTCAGAACTGAAAAAAACTACTGACTTCCAAACTAAAAGTGAAGTCAACTTTCCAGGCGAAATTGCGGTAAAAAAATTTAACAAGCTGTAGAACCTCTTCCGGTCGATGAGGCTGAACTAATTGGACGTTCCATGAACGATAGTATCGAAGGTACTAAAAACTACAAAAATTTGGTGTAAGAAAAGAGTCATATTTCATATTTTCATTGCTTTGGTTCAATGTGTTGAATGCTTTCAAAACAAAACAATAGCAAACGTGACCAAAACAAACAACAAATTACCTAACTTGTGTGAAAAGAAGAACCAGACTTGTGTCGCGAAACGATTGTAATTGGATAAATTACCTAGAAAAATGGTTTGCTCGATTTGAAATTGGGTCATCACGTGCATGCATTGCCCTAAATACAGTCAGTTGACCGACGATGAGCATGAAATATTCACGTATCGTCAAATGGAGGATTTCTGGCTATTGGTTAGATGAGTTTTGGCTCAATTCATCGATTCAAATCGTTTGTGCTTGAATCTTTTTATCATATTTTCCGAAAAAATCGACGTTTTTTATTAGTTTTCCAAAAAAAAAACAGAGATGACTGAAGCGCACCGAGTGACCGAGCAACGGCCGCACGGACACTGAGTTTGCGTGCTTAAAACATGCTCAGTGCGATATTGCGCTGCAGCACAAACAAACCCACTCCATGAAGAGAGTATAAGCGCACCAACGGAGTGTGCTACACCGCACTCGTACACAACGAAGAAACAATAGAGAGGATATACAAAGAAAGAAACACAAAGAAAAGGATAAGACAATACACACTCAACTCTTTATATGTGTGTATAAACCATAATAGGCAACAGAGTTAGAGTGCGCACACATTTCTTAACAACAAAGTAAGAGTGCGCACATAAACTCATAACGAAGTGAGTGTAAACGCACAGAGCAGAAAACGACTCTCAGTTGAGTTGCTGAATACGCTACTGAGCGTGCGCTTAGTCATCTCTGAAAAAACCCACTTTTATTCACTTGAAATTTGTTATTTTTAGATTTTGCAGTGGAAGAAAAAAAAACTCAACAAGCTAAAAACAAAATTGGATCAAAAAGTTTAAGTAGAGAAATACAGGTTCTTGTCCAAAATGACGTTATATTTTACAAAATCTGAAAATTGAAAAGGAAAATGCGCTGAGTTTGAGAAAAGCTCACACAAAATTCCAAAAGTGACTCTATGAGCACCGTGAAGGCTTTATGTTACAATTTATGCATTTTAGAAAGAACAAGTGAATGAATTGGTGTATTTAACCTAGTTTATAATTTGGCAAATCACAGTTTGCCAAAATCTGGGCTTTACAATAAAAATTACCAAGAAAAATACTAAAAATACTAAATAATAAAATAAATCAAATCACTTATAAAATAAAATCGTGTTGAAATGCTAAATACATTTAAAAACTGTGACTGTTTTCCCACTTTTGATTGGTTTCTTCCGAAAAGTGTTCTTCCCACTGTGATATCTCAATCGAATCGATGTTCATTGATCGGGTTTTTTTAGTCGATTGATTCAATTTTCTCAAGTTGTGTACATGTAGAAATGTGCTTGATCGAATTTCCGATAAATCGTTCAGCGATAAATTCAGTGAATAAACTTCACGAAGGCTTTCAAATGTCCTTTTCTTGAATTCTGTAACAACATCTCTCGACGAGACTAGTTCGTTTGATTCGTGTAAACACTCAAATGAATTTGCTTCTATAATTGTGATTTCATTATTCGAAATGCTCAAGTAATTGGATTTACGTTGGTATCGCTTATGACGTTCATTCAATGCCGTCACTTCAACTCCATAATCATTATACGAACAATCGAGATATTTCAAATCGTAAAAAGATAGCGACATTTTATCGACAATTTTTGTTACGTTGTGCAATGAACTTTCCAATTCAAAGCGATTTGCCCTTTCCAGACGGTATTCAATTAGTGATGTCAATTTGAAACCTCCCGTGTTTTGATGCGTACGTGAGAAACTGTGACTTTCTATATTTTCGAGAAATTCTTCCGAAGTTCGTGGCCATTCATAATTTTGGAAATCTACTACAACAGATCTATTCCCCACTTCCGTACGCAGATTGTCCATGTGTTGTTGTTAGGCTCCTTTCCACAAATCAGCACCAGATGTTTTCCCAAATTCAATTTTTTTTTTCTATTTATAAAAAGGTGTCCACCAAATTTCACTTTTCAATGTTCTACAAGAATTAATTATTGATAGATTGCACTATGATCGCACACAGAAATTTCAGAGCAAACCAGAACCAAATTGCAATTTGAAAGTAGGAAGAAACAAACTTTTTGAAGCCCAGTTTGAAACTGTTTTTATTCAAAGCATTCTTCCGTATTTAAATCAATAAACATAAAAAAAACCATGGAAGTGAATCATTCGATCATATAATTTCCGTCTTTCGATGCCCTATAAGGCATCCATACGGTAGTCACCAGAATGAAACATGAACATATTTGGAACCATTTTAATGCACAAACTTAAAAGTCTTAGTCATAAAATAATGTCCAAAAGTTTCATTAAGCATTCACATTTTGGAAACGTTCCCACCGAAAAAGAAAAATACTCAAGCATTATCAAAACGACGACGACGACGTCATTGTTTGTATAAAAACAAAAACAAATAGGGTATCTCTCTATGGTCAACATAAAAAAAATATGAAGAGAGGCAAAAAGCGCAAAGAGAGAGAGAGAGAGCATTTGAAAAGCTTCAAAGCAATTACTAGGCAGAACATTGGACGATAAAACATATCTGGAACATGGATGATATGACCTGCATACGTTTTCGGCTGTAGAATTATCCCATGAGATTCGTATACTTGAACAGATGGCGAGAATGACGTTATCACAAGAAGTATTTACAATCTCTTATCAACATTATGAAACTGACGAATTTCTCTTTTTTTTTTTTTTTTTTTCATCAAATTACACCGAATGACTGCATCACACATACAAACGTGGTGGGGAGCTTTGTGTAATGACGATGTGAACCAAATTCATTCATTTTGTTTTTTGTGAATAAAATTCACACGGTGAATCATGTAAATTTCCAAAGGTCATCAGGAAGAATTGTTGAAATTTTCATCATTGCGATGAATCAATTTAATGACCAGAGTTCAAAATAAATAAATTAAGTGTGCGTTGTTGAGTGGAGAGAAAGGAAGAGAGGTAAGACGGTAGGCAACTTACCCAGTGAAAATGACAGTTGTTTTCTTAATTGTGTAAAGTGGTTCCAGAATAAAATATGTTTTATTCGTTGTTTACAGTTCCTGTTTCATTGACAAGTTAGAACGAATTGATATCTTTGGAAACTTGACGCTCTTACCAAACTTTTACTGATGAAGGGAATAAGGTGTTGGAGAACCATTAAAACAAACGAAAATTCACTTGAATTTAGTGATTCTGCATTCATCATTTAGTTCATTTTTTATTTTTTGATTGTTCAACTAATTTAAAAATTTTAAGTTATTCAAACATAATAGTTTGAGGTGGCAAAGGATTCATAATATTCTGTAAAGCAACTCTATTTCGAGATTCAATAACGCGACAAATCCATACGAATGAAACATTTTCTTGTGTTCTAATGAGGAAGTCAGCATTCTGTCAAAACTGGAATTGAATTCATTGATTTTTTGTTGAAAAATCATTCATAAATATTTAAATTCAAATTGAACATTGACAGCACTGGTAGCAGTGCTACTATTACGATAGCTATCCCAAACAATGTGAAACGATTTTTATGTCCATCATTAGCTGAAGATGGTTGGAGTGGCATTTTATCGGATCTACTTTTAAGAGCTGATAATAATGGAAACAGCAGTGAATTAGAACGTTTCTCATTTTCTTCCGTAGATGTTTCACTTGGAGAAAAGGTGGATGTCGTCATGTGATCTTCGCGAATTTTTACATTTTCGGTGGTTTGATGGAACCTTTCATCATTTATTTTTTTAACAATGGTTTCATTATTCACTATTTTCAGTGCATCGTTGATATTTTCAACGCTTGATTCGTTAGTAGTTATTTCTGGTTCGAGTATTATGAATGATGATGTAAAAGTTTTCTTGGTTCCTTCTGTTGATGCTTTGCTTGGAAAAATACTGGATGCTGTCGTGTGGTCATTTTGAATCATGCCTCTACCAACTGTTGACGCTGATACTTCGATTGTACTTGAGATTCCATTACGATCGTTGCCATTGACTTCGTCTTTAATGTCAGTGCAATTAAATGTTGAAGGCATCATATACTGTTCCAAAGTATTCAAGTATGAACAGTTGAATTTATTGCTGTCAGCGCCGATGATTTTCACTTTGGACGCATTGTTAAAACCATTCAACTCATTTAGTTGATTATTCGCAATCATAAGTAATTTCAACGGCCATTGCCAAACTCTGACATCCAATTGTTTCAATTTATTGTTTGATAAATTCAACATCTTGAGACAAAGGTTTGAATCAAAGGCTTTTAGATGTATTTCGTCTATTTCGTTGAATGAAAAGTCACAATCGCTGAGGAATGTCGAATCGTCAAGCAATCGCTCTGGAATTTTTACAATTTTATTGCGCGAAGCATTCAAATACTTCAAATGTGTGGCTCCTGCAAAATGTTTCTTTTGAAGCCACTTGATACTGAGCAGAGATAAATCAAGTTTATTCACATTTGTATAAGCACTGAAAAAATCGTCTGGAATTTCTTCCAGTTCACAATTATCGGCAAAATTGACTATATGAATGGTTGCTTTACAGAATGTATCATCATTCTTTTGATTTTGACACTTTTCTCCACAGTTTTCTGACTGAAAAAGAACACTTTTGGCAGTAGTCCCACAAAGGAAAGTTAAACGGTTCGAGCGTTTCAGATCAGTATCAAAATCACCGTAATAATTACAATCGCCAATATTTGAATACATTTCCGAATAAACACAAACGATCAAATATGCCAAAATTGACCAAATCAATTTCGAAAGAGAAAATGAATGCGAACCAACCATTTTTCAATGTTGAGCCAACCGAACAGATTCCAAATCGATATAAGAGCACCACGTCGTGTAGCAGTCAATGGAATGAAGTAACGCATGGCATTGTTTTATCGCCATTCGACAGTTCTTCGCACATTCCGTCCAACACGTCCGGCTACGCATCTATTTTTGGATATCTCAATTCACTGGAAATACTGTGGTATGGAACATATGCTATACGTGAAATTAAAATAGAAGTAAAATTCTGAATCACAATGGTTCTATAATGATAACAGAATGCTACAGTGTTCGAATCACTTTTCTTAAAATTGTATAAAATTTCAGTGAGTTGAATTGAAGTTTTGGCTCAGTATCCATTTCCGTTGCTTGCTGATATCGCAAGAAATTTTGTGCGTCATTCGTCATTCCAACGGATCGTGTGTTTCTGCACGTACTTTGCAAAGTTTTAAATAAGAAGTTTGAGTCATAAGTGAGGATATTTGACTCCATTTGGGCTTTTAGATTGAATGAAAACTTTGCGGTGCTTTTGAAGTTCTGAAGTTTTTTTTTGAAGCGCCGCAATGTTTTCTTTTGATTATATGAACCCATCGTGAAGAGCGAAAGATGTGGCCCATGCATATGATATAGTTCGCGTATTCCAGTACGTCTGGCCAAGTTTTCGTTGCCTGGCCAATTTCACAAAATCGACAGATGAGGAAAAAAAGCACAAGCACAACGGCAGTGTACGGAAAAGCCCATTCGAACAAATAAACAATGATTACACGAATTTTTGCCCGCGTTCCCCATTTTTTGTTGTTGCGCTATGTTTTATTGCTTCGGAAAACACGATTCGCATCGGCATTTTTTTTATTTGGGTTCAGTCGTAGTAGCACAACACCCAGTGTATGTGAGTGCGAGAGTTCAGGTGGAGCGAGAAAATGTTCAATCGGAATTTCCAATCTAGAGGCCGCCTGCATTTATTGCATGTTTAAATGAAATGATCAAAATTTCCAATTCAAGCGTGATACGGAGAAAAAAAAACACAACAAAAACAAAAATCGAGAACGATCGACGTAAACAATACTCATATAGCAAATATTTTGATACGCATAAAAAAGGCAAACAAGCAAATTCTGTTTGAATAATCAGAATAAAGTGTACGAACGAACAGAGAAGAAAAAAACTTTAAAAAACTTAAAAGGAAGAATTCCGAAACTAAAAACACCAATTTATTTACGAATTAAGAACACGCTTAGTAACGATTTCGGCCATAAATATTGGCCATTGCTACTTTACTATTTCATCTTTAATTAAATTGGAGGAATATTGTATTACAATTTTTTTTATTCATATATGAATTTTAAATTTCAATTATTATCGTCGCTGAAGTCACTGTAATTGTCACTTTGATCGCTGTCATAGGATGATGAAGATACATCGCTTTCATTGTTGTCATAGTTGTCGTTGAAACAATCAACTAATGTTGTCCTTATCTGTAGAATCGGAAAAAAAATAATAAAAAATTGATCAATTCAAAAGAATGCTATTTTTTTTTTTCCATTATATTCATTACCAGTTCTTCTTCTTCCACATCTGAAGCATTTACATTTCGGCGAAGACGACGACGGCGGCATTGGAGACGACGATAATTTGTATTGGCACGTTTTCTAGCTTCATCCAACTCCTCTTTACGCTTTTTTGTTCGTTCCTTTTGGTGTTCTGCCGTTTCGGTGAAATTTGCAGGTCGTGGCACATCATATGTATCGCAGTAAACTAAAAATAAAAAATAAATAAAAATTGATGAAAGGAGAACAAGAAAAAAAGAGAGTGGGAACAATAAATATATATACAAAAGAATATACTTACACAGTGTTCGAATATTTATTGCAGCATTAATATCGCGATTGAATGATCTTGATGCAGTTTTATCTAATGCATAAGCACCATTGCATTTATGTAGTTTCCACATGGACAAATTGAAATTGATATTTTCTTCATTTTCGTGCATACGCCATTTGATTTTACGACTTCGAACTCGTTTACCCGTCGTCTTTGAAATTTTATGCTTACTCTTCCATGTATAATGTATCTTTTTAACATGAGTATATCGATATTTCTGTTTATTAGCATCATTTATTACCATTGTTGGTGGATCTTTGGTAATTGCATTAGCATCATCATTGGCTATCGCACGTGCAGCTTTTCGCTCTAATCTCAATTCACGTTTATTTTTCAACAAATAAATCCCTTTGTCTGGCAATGGTGATCGCATTGTTGGCAACATAGATGCAATGTCCATTGGTTTACACACCAAGCATACTTTGGTGCGACTCTTTTTTGTGCGGCTGCCTCGATGCCATAATCGATCCTCCTTCCAAGCTTTGTAACGACTCTCGCTCATACGAGCATCTTACAATACTTCACCACAACGGCAACAACATTTCGTCGTACGATGTTCGCTGCCAAAATACACTGTACACCGCGGATGTTCATTGAGTAATTTGAAAAGGGCATGCACTTGGGTGCCTTGGTATTCAAAACCAGGTGAATTGGCTGCTGGTAATTTATCACCAACAATTACCACCACATTTTTACTCCGGCCAACAATCATACGAACAATGTCGTTTAATGCACTTGTCCTTTGTGCCCATGCATTTTGGTTGATTTTAGCATATGCTTTGGTATTATACACTGCCATGGCTCGGGTGAAAAACTTTAATCTATGTTTGGCATATTCTTCGAATTGGGGTGAACGACTACTAGGCTGTAGTTTATCCGTTGATTCCTTTTCAATTTTTTCACAATCCATCTTTATTTCATTGTCAATTTCCGCAGTCAGTTGTTCACGTTGTTTCTGGAAAAATTTAGTTTTGCACATACGATAGTGACGGCGCGAAGAAAACTTGAATTGGCGATATTTTCCCGTTTTATGATCGATGATTAAACCACAAATCATTAGCCGTTTGCCCACATCTAGTACCACTTCACGATCGCACGATTGTAATTTTTGTCGTTGCTCCTCTTTGATTTTTGCTATTTCTTCCTCCTCGGCAGCCGTGCTTTTAGTATTGGCTTTCTTTTTGGTTTTCTTTGCTGCTGGTATTGTAGAAGCAGCATTATTATTGCGGCGATGCATTTGAAATGAAATCGATACGCCGTTCGTGTTAAAATGATTACCAAATACTGCATTACGTTCGCCCTCGATTTGATCAACTTTGAAGAATTTTCGCCATAAAGCATAAATCAATTTTTTGGCTTTTTTAGTTCGATAAGCTCTGACTTCTCTAGAACCACTTTCCTGCTCGTCTTTTTCCCCTGGGTGGTTTATCAAACGAATCAATTTGACGAAACCAGTGCGATCAACGCTGATGCTTTCCTGTCCAAAATGCGACTCGGGAAACACTTGAAATACCTTCAATTTGGGCGGTAATAGCAAACTTGGATAACGACGACGGTGATGACTTTTCTGTTCTTCTTCTTCTTCTTGTTGCTGAGCAGTAATTGTCGCTTTGAATTCGATCCAGCGTTGTTTGTTTTTTTCATTCTCTGTGCGATTGTATTGCTGTAGGGCATAAAAGAATGGCACATACTTGTACCACTTGCCTTCTTTGTCGCTATGTAAATTATTAAAATAGCCGGCACCATAATTTTTCATGTTGAAATTCATTGGTTTTAATTTATCGTGCAGCTGTTTAATTAATTGTTGAGGCTCATGCTCCAAAGAATTTGAATTATATTTCTTCTTTTCATTTTTATCATCCTTAGGTGGTTTCAAATGTTCCATCGTTGACTTTATCCATTGGCGATACGTTTTGTTGTATTTTATCTGCTTTATGGTAGCATTATTTGGTATTTTAAACAATTTGCTATCATTTTGAAAAACATAAACGTAAATGAAATGTAACAACACTTGCTTAATCCATCTGTAGCCATGGACGCATATGCAATTCATTAACATGGTTCGATGATGACCGACAGCATTGCCAAGAATATTCTGTAATCCTACGGCGGGTGGTGCGTTTACTTTAAAATCTTCGATGAATGTCTTTACGATTGGATCAAGTTCGGTTGCAAATGGATGAGCTGGATCTTATTTTTCTGGATATACACCACCTTCTCGGACCCCATTGAAGTGCTCCCAGAAGTACCTATCTCCACATTTCTTTTTCCAAAATTCATCGTGGATTGCTTTCGTATTTCCACTAATCAATATTCGCATCAATATGCAATGCACATTGAGATATGCTAATACTGTCAGGCGGCTCATTTCGTCAACCACTGCATTGATTGTATCCAATAATTCGTCATGCCTATTTTCAGGTAAGTTGATGGCATCTTTCAGTAGCATTTTAACTACAAATATATTTTTATTTTGGGCAACCAATGCATCTGTGCTTTTTGGTTTCTTTTTACTTTGTGGTCGTTTTCGCTTCTTCTTCTCCTGATGTTGTTGTTGTTGTTGTTGTTGTTGTTCATTTTCACGAGTCATTTTTTCACACTTTTGTCTTTTACAACACTTCATTTGGCTCAGATCAAAACTGTTTCGGTGGAATGTTTAATTGTATGTAAAATACGTAATTAGTACATCGACTGTTCCAAACGGCAGGATACGTACTAGTTGCTAATTAAAAACACATTTTTATGTTCGGCCACAAATCAGTCACTGCAGTGCTCATGAGCTATGATTATTGCGAAAAATATATTTGCTTTTTATTCTTTTAATTCATGGAAAAGGAGTATAAACGATATGAAACATGCAATCAATTCCAGCGACAAAAAGTTGATTCATTAAAATAGGGCAAATTTGACAAGAAACGCTAATACATTCAATTTTTTTTTTATTTAATTGCATAACTCTTTATTCACTTGGTTTCAACCAGAAGTTTACCATTCGAGACATTTTACTGTGGAAGGTAATGGATGAAATCAAATCCGTCTCAAAAAGTACCAAAATCGTCCTAAAAAATTACAAAATCGACCCAAAAAATAACAAAAGCATACTAAAATAATTACAAAATCGTCCCAAAAACATTTCATAAATTATCCCTAGGATAATAATGAGTGGACATACACTCGGCATGTCTTTTGGCATGTCTACATTATGAGTACTTTCATGCCATGGTGGTCGTTTTCAGTAAAAGGAATTAGAAAATCAGTCTTCTTATTAAAGCAAAAGATATCGATTTTATTTCAATGTATTTGAACATGACAACAATTCATATGCGTGTGCTGTCAAAGTCACTTTGTCATGCGTCATTCACATTAATGCTTTAACTGATTGTGGTGAACAGTGGTGAGATTGGAAACGCCATACATTTTATATAAATTATTTGTTTGGGAATTATATTCATTTATTTTCTTTTATTGTTGATATTTGGGCTCTGCAAAGCCTAGGCTTCATCCACGATTTGTTTTCCAAAGAAATATTACGAAAAAATCGTGAGTTTGCACTGTCAACACTTGTGTGGTTTTTCATATGATTTTGAAGTCATCGAATATTGCCACCCATTCACACATTCAATGAACTTGCTACACCAAGTGATAGTTTAGTTCATTGGTGACGTTTTTCAATCCGCCATACGTTTTTATATGTGTGTGTACATCAAAATGTCAAAGTTTTCAAGAATGCAACCGTTCTCCTCTTTCTTTTCAGCACGAGTTTTTTGGTCTGATTTTGCTATGTTTTGGGACTCTTGCGCCTGCAGAAAACGATTACGCAAGGAAATCATTGGACTCTAATATTTGGTCAATTTATCTTTGAATCAGAAATTATTTCATACAAAAAAGGGGACTATTTAGTGAAATATCACAATTTTTACCAAAGATCGATATCTTTTGCTTAAACAAGAAGACTGATTCTAATTCCTTTTTATTGATTCCTTTTACTGAAAACGACCACCATGGCATGAAAGTACTCATAATATAGACATGCCAAGAGACATGCCGAATATGTGTCCACTCATTATTATCCTAGGGATTATTTATGAAATGTTTTTGGGACGAATTTGTAATTATTTTAGTACGATTTTGTTAATTTTTGGGTCGGTTTTGTTATTTCTTAGGACGATTTTGGTGTGGGTTTTGGGACGACTTTGTAATTATTTTAGTACGATTTTGTTATTTTTTGGGTCGATTTTGTAATTTTTTGGGACGATTTTGGTACTTTTTGGGACGGATTTGATTTCATCCGAAAGTAATACTTCTTTACTTGGTGGCAACCAGAGATGACTGAAGCGCACCGAGTGACCGAGCAACGGCCGCACGGACACTGAGTTTGCGTGCTTAAAACATGCTCAGTGCGATATTGCGCTGCAGCACAAACAAACCCACTCCATGAAGAGAGTATAAGCGCACCAACGGAGTGCGCTACACCGCACTCGTACACAACGAAGAAACAATAGAGAGAATATACAAAGAAAGAAACACAAAGAAAAGGATAAGACAATACACACTCAACTCTTTATATGTGTGTATAAACCATAATAGGCAACAGAGTTAGAGTGCGCACACATTTCTTAACAACAAAGTCAGAGTGCGCACATAAACTCATAACGAAGTGAGTGTAAACGCACAGAGCAGAAAACGACTCTCAGTTGAGTTGCTGAATACGCTACTGAGCGTGCGCTTAGTCATCTCTGGTGGCAACTAGATACTGTATGACTTTGGAATGGAACAACATGCGCTTATATACCCGTTCATCGGATGTTGCAACTGAATGAGTAAGCGAAAAATAATGAAAATTGGAAGAGGGAGATATATATAAAGCACTTATTTTGCTTTTGTTCGATTTTGTTGTTTGTAAAATTCGTCGTTAAAAGCCGTGTCCAAAAGTCGGCCTAAAAAGTGTATTTGGAAACTCACATGTAGAGTATGATTTTTTTTGGATATGGTGAGAATGAATCTGTTTGCATTTGTAAATTCTCTGAAAAAAAGGTTTTATGACTGACTTCCGTTTTCGAGAGACGACGACTACGAATCTTTTGCCCTTAATTTTATGACGGCTGTGTTTGCATTCTCTTTTTAATTACGATCGTCGTAGCTTAGACTACCATCACCATCATCCCCACTTATCACATGTTGATGATAAGTAATTAAAACTATCATGGTTTATTTTCTAAATAGAGTAAAAGAAACTAACAACAACAAAAAATAAGATGAAAAATACAAAGAGAAAAGAGAAGACGGACAAATGTCGGCAAACGCGTACTTTGTTCTATTTTTTTCGTTGCTGTTAACGAATATACATTGTACATTAGTCAATGTTTATTCAACTATATGAAAAATTCACATATGTATTGTAGTGCACATTGTACATATTCGTAACGCATTAATGGTGTAAATATGTTGCGATCATAAAACTAAAAAGACAACGAAAGGCAAAAAGGGTCTACCTATAAAAATAGTCATAGCACATTTTTTGGGAATTTCTTTTAAAATAAATATCCAATATCGATCGAATCCCAAAATAACAAATGTTTATTACATGCAAACCGAAGGAATGCAATGCAATTTGAAGCAATGTGATAACACACATTCAAAGTGCCGTTTGTCGAAGCATAAATGTGCGTACATGTGCAAACTAAAAAAAAAAATTGTTTTAAATATAAATTACTAGGAAATTTTACCACAGGATGAACTTCGTATCCTTCATTGAATATTTCGTGTTTACATGTGTTTGCTCGCATTTATGATCTATTTTGAAAAAAAATTTCCAAGAAATGTTTCATGACGATTAGTTAGATGAAGAGAGGAAGAGATATACAGGTCAAAATCCATCCGATGTTTGAATAAACAACAACTCAATGAAGCAACGGACTTGTCGGCACACTCGTGGATTTAGCATTTCACTTGCTTTGGCGATTCGTAAGTTGCCGAAGCATCGTATATGCAGTGCACTCGATATTTAACGTGAAAACCTATATTCGGTACATCGAAGTTGGCCGAGGTATGATTTCGTTTGCGCGTAGCACGTAAGCAATTCACTTCCGATATATAGTATATACGTTTTCACGTTAAATATCGAGTGCACTGCATTTATGATGCTTCGGCAACTAACGAATCGCCAAAGCAAGTAAAATGCTAAATCCACGAGTGAGCCGACAAGTCCGCTGCTCCATTGAGAACACGCATCATTTTATCAACATCACTTTCATTTATTTGCTTATTTCGTTTTCGTTCAAAGTTTACAGATTTGAAACACGAATCCGTAACTCTGCCCAAGTTATTTACTTATCACACATTGCATTAATCAATGTAAATACCAATTAATAATTGGGGATGATGCATAATGGAATTGATAAAGATTATATTTGAACTGCTGAGAATATTCGTTGGACGTTGCTACGTTTTTTCAAAATACGATTCTTGAAAAAGTTGGTGCGCAAAAGCGGGACATCATATTTCTACTCATTCAATGTGCAACATTAAAAACTCTGTGTATAATTTCGAGAAATATCGCTTTTGTCGCGTATGTTTTATGCAGTGTCATTTTAAAAATCAACAATTGTGATGTCCCGCTTTTGCGTAACAACTTTTTCAAAACACACTTTTCGTTATTGGCTTCTAATTGAAATGGCGTAGGGTACGCGCAAAAGCGATACTTTTCGAAATTATTACTATATTATTGACTTTATGACGTACTTATGATCGAAAATTGATCTAAAATATTCTGCTTAGCTATAACTGGCTATTAATCTATTATAATTTCACATTTTCAAACATTGTGTTCGTGGCGTCACTTTGAAGCAATAAAAAAATCAAGCAAAAATGATGTAGCACTAATTAGTCCGGTGGCTGTATATCTCCAGCTATTACTTTTCTCAGAGTCCAATTATTTCCATTTAATGAAACAAATCACTTCGTATTCGTTCAAGAGGAATTTTGTTGTTCAGCCATATTTACTCGATAAACAACTTCCGTGAAATGGCCTCTTTTCAAACTTTTTTTCCGTAAAAAATATGAAACCAATACGATTGCAATGATGATCAAACCCACGGTATTGATTAATAAGACAGTCAATATAAATTTATGGAAGTCCTCATGTTTGATATCGAGTTTTTGATCATGTGAGCCATTGCTTCCGTATTCTTTACTTGGTAGAACCTTTTCTTTCCATGTTGTTGTTGCTTTTGGTAGATCAATCAACGTCGTTTTCATTATTTTCATCGTCGTTCTTATCACACTTTTGGGTGGGCCTTGTGTTGGCGATGGATAAGTCTGTGTTGTTGGCGGTAGATGAGTTGATGTTGTGTTCGACTCGGTGGTGAACATTGTTGTCGAAAATTTTTCCTCCAGCATTTCTCTCCATGTGGTCGTAAAAATTCTCGTCATCATGGTAACTGGTGCTGTTCTCACATTGACCAAATCACAGTCGAGTTGATGTAAATTTGAGTCCAAATTCTTGCTGATCAACTGGGTTAAAGTATTCAAATATGAACAATTGAATTGATTACTGTCGATGCCCACAATTGTCATGTTTGAAATACGCGAGTTGTTGAATCCAATCAGTTCATGCAATTGATTGTTTCCAATTATAAGTGATTTCATTTGATTCAAGTGCGTTGGAAGAATGTCTGCACTTAATGTCTTCAATCGATTGTGTGACAAGTCTAATAATTCAAGTAAATCACCCGCGAATGCATAATTTCCAACAATTTCGATCTTGTTATACGACAAATCGACTTCATTCAATTTCTTGTGTTTGTAAAATGAAAATGAAGGTATTTCACTAATTTCATTGTGCGACAAATTAAGTCTGTGTAAGTATGAAGCATCCGAAAACATATTCACTTCATATGATGAGGAGCTTGTGTTAACTCCGCAAACACTTGAACTGTTAACAGAGCTGAAGCGAATAAAACTAAATGAATGTTCATTTTCACCAATTTTTGCAACTTAAGTTTAAATTTCTCATTAAACAATCGAATGGTTTGACAATCACTAGTAAACTGAAGCAAATTAACACTAATCATTATATTAAATGCTGTTTATTTGACGGAATGCATCACCATTGTGTGGGCTATGCATTCAAAAATCACAAATGAAAACAATTTCAAGTTTTTTTTTTTCTCAGTACAAAGTCACACTTTCTTCCACCAACACTCCGAATTACATCCTTTCAAAACAAGAACTTCGCCTAGATGTTTTGCGAATATATAATCGTGACGGATACCGTTTTTTTGTGCAAGCAGCAAATATACGTTTTTGAATGATCCAAAAACGTATGTTTGGTAAGCAGGTCAAAGTGAAGGTTACGTCTGGATCATATCATAGATGAATATTGCACACTGAATTGAAGCAATTCAAATTTTAACGATTTATATACAACTGGACGTGCATTGAGTGCATTGCACTCAGTTATTTCTGGATCACTTTGGATGAAAAATATATAAACTAATTAAAAAATGGAATCTTGAACTTTATTCTTTGCAAATGGAGACTGATACGGAGTGCGAATCTTAAACTTACTTATCAACAGTTTGTCTTTCTTTGTTTAAATTGAATATTCTTTGAAAGTCATCCATGAAACGAGTTATGCTACATTTATTCTAATTTAACAATATTGGAATAGCTCATATATGCTAATGGCTGAAGACATCCTGACGTTTTATGTACACTGAAATTATTTCGTAGCTCTTCGTATTCGTTTTACTCAATGGATTTTGGTGATTCAACATTTCAACGATAACATTTTCAGACCGTGTTGTTGGCGAACATTTTATTGTTAAATGCTGAGATTCGATTGTGGCTCAAGTCCAATTTTTAATTTAATTGTGTATTAAAGATGCAGACCTTCAGTCTAGGTTATATTGTATTAGAGGAAAACTAAATCCAATGGTGAATGGAAAACAAAACTCGACGTGTTTTATGATTTTATTGACAAAGGTTGAAGTTCCTCAACATGTTGATTGAAAAGTTATTACAATATTAAATCGAAAATTCATCTAAAATATTCTGTTTAGCTATAACTGTATTAATCTATTACAATTTCATATTTTCAAACATAGTGTTCGTTGAATGCATTACTTTCTCCATAGAAAATTCGCGCTCGAGCATAGTAAGCGTCGACACTTATAGCTGTGCTCACGATTTTTTTTTATCAAGATATCGTAATAAACTAAAAATATCGTTCGATATCGTTATTATGATGGAATCTTAACTTTTTATCAGGATATTAACTATATTCAAATAATAACGTTATCGGATGAATCTTAATAATATCGTTGGGAAGTTATCAAGATCGAATCCTGATAATTTATCAACATTCAATCTTAATAATCATCAAGTTCTGGAAGTGGGTTTTGGTGGATCCTCAGGATCGACCAGAACTGCTCCCAGTTCTGGAAGTGGATCTTCAGGATGGGCCAAGGGCAGTGTCAAACCGGATCTGGTACATCCTGAAGATCCACTTTCAGAACTGGGAGCAGTTCTGGTCGATCCTGAGGGTCCACCAAAACCCACTTCCAGAACTTGATGATTATTAAGATTGAATGTTGATAAATTATCAGGATTCGATCTTAATAACTTCAAAATGATATTATTAAGATTCATCCGGTAGCGTTATTATTTGAATATAGTTAATAACCTGATAAAAAGTTGATAGCGTTATTAAGATTTATCGGTATTATGATCGGATCTCAATAATCTCTAAAAATTATTAGGATGGTTATTAAGATACGAATATGGCACAGCTATAGTCTGACGCTCTGTGTGTACAGTATAAGGCAAAACAACACTACTACATGCGCGCGTTGCTTCATCACACACAGTTCGTTATAGTGACCGCGCTCGAAGAGTGTGCAAAGGAGAAATAATACATAAGTACGACGCTCATCTGACACCTCGTCACACAGATCGTTCTCATATAAGAGCGCCGTATGTATGTATTATTTCCCCTTTACACACTTTTCGAGCGCGGTCACTATAACGAACTGTGTGTGACGAAGCGTCGCGCGCATGTAGTAGTGTCGTTCTGCCTTATACTGTACACACAGAGTGTCAGACCAACCATTCTTAGTGTCGACGCTTACTATGCTCGAGCGCGAATTTTCTATGGAGTTTGAGGGCGAAAATGATGTGGCACGAATTAGGCCGTTGGCCGTATATCTCCACCTATTGAAGATGAAACAAATTTCTTTGGATTCGTTCAAGAGGAATTTTGTTGTTCAGCCATATTTGACATATAAACAACTTGCGTGAAATGGCCTTTTTTCAAACTTTTTTTCCGTAAAAAGTATGAAACCAATACGATCGCAATGATGATCAAACCCACGGTATTGATTAATAAGACAGTCGATATAAATTTATGGAAGCCTTCATGGTTGGAATCGAGTTTTTGATCTTGTGAGTCATCGTATTCTTTACTTGGTTGAACTTTTTCTTTCCATGTCGTTGTTCTTTTTGGTAGATCAGTTGTCGTCGTCGTTGACATTGTCCTCATCATCATTCTTATTACACTTTTGGATGGGCTCTGTTTTGGTGGTGGATAAGTCGGTGTTGTTGGCGGTGAACGAGTTGATGTTGTGGATGAGTGGGCGGGGAACGCTGTTGCCGATGGTATTTCCTCTGGCCATGCTCTCCATGTGGTCGTAAAAATTCTCGTCATCATGGTAACTGGTGCTGTTCTCACATTGACCAAATCACAGTCGAGTTGATATAAATTTGAGTCCAAATTCTTGCTGATCAACTGGGTTAAAGTATTCAAATACGAACAATTGAATTGATTACTGTCCATGCCCACAATTTTCATGTTTAAAATACGCGATCTGTTGAATCCAATCAGTTCACGCAATTGATTGTTGCCAATCATAAGCGATTCCATTCGATCCAAGCGCTTTGGAAGAATGTCCGCACTAAAAGTCTTCAATTGATTGCGTGACAAGTCTAATATTCGCAATTTCTTATTTTCGTAAAATAAAAATGATGGAATTTTGCTGATTCCATTGTGCGATAAATTGAGTCTGATTAAATTGTCAGCATATGAAAACATATGCTTTGAAAGCGATGTTAATCCAAGATATGACATGTTCAAAGTGTGAAGATTGGAATACACGCTGAATAGGTCATTTGGTAGCTTTGGCCGTTCACAGTCGTTGAAATTTATGCTATCGATCCACGCCTTAGAAAACCTATCCGAGCGTGTTAGACGTGATTCATAAAGATGTTGATTCAAGCAGGATGACCAAACGTAAGGTGTAAAAAAGTCATGTTGGCGACTATTTTCGACGCACACGAGGGTCAAATTACAGTCATATGGACCGTCATAATAATAACAAGCGCCAATGTTCTCATATTTCACACGATGTGGAGCCTGTGTAGACTCTGCAAACACTTGAACTGTTGACAAAACTGAAGCGAATAAAACGAAATAAATGTTCATTTTCACCAATTTTCACAACTTTAATTCAGACTTCTAATTGAGAACTATCGAATGGTTTGACGATCACTTGTAAACTGAATCAAATTAACACTGATCATGACATTAAATGCTGTTACAATGACGAAATACAAAAATATCGTGTGGGCTATTCACTCGAAAATCACAAATGAAAACAATTTCAAGTTTTTTTTCAGTTCAAAGTCACACTTTCTACCGCCAACACTCCAAACCACATCCTTTCAAAATAAGAAACTAGCGAAAGTGTTGTGCGATTATTCTATCGTGGCGGATATCGCTTTTTTTGTATAACTTAGCGTACAGTGACTGCCCTCAGTCATTTCGGGTCACTTTGAATGAAAAATTGAAAACAAAAACAAATTATAAGACAATATGAATTTGAACTTTATTCTTCGCAAATTGAGACTGGTACAGAGTGCAAATTTTAAGCTTACGTACTTATCAACAGTTTATTTTTTTTAAATTAAAATATTATTAAATTATTATAAACTTTGAAAGTCATTCATGAAACCATTCATGCCACTCTTATTCTAACTTAATAATATTGATAGCTCATGGCCATAGCTCATGCCAATGGCCGAAGATATGCTGGCGGTTCATGTAGACTGAAATTGTTTCGTATTTCTTCGTATTCGTTTTGTTCAATGGATTTTGGTGGTTGAACATTTCGACGGTAAGTAACTTGCGGAAAGATATCTATTTTCTGCGATCGTTTTCGAATCAGCATCCAAACGAGTGCACTGATAAGTGCAATTGTTATGACTAATAGAAGCGTTGTGTTGATAATTAACAAAATTGTTTGCGTTGAATTACTTGAATGTTCATTGTTGTTTTTGAAATTTTCATGAATCGTTTCGTCACATTTACTTTCATTCGGTCGTTCATTCTTTTCATCTGTTGGGCTCACCTTTTTATTTAATGGATTTAAAGTCGTTAATTCATTACCTGGGCTACATTCAATCCGATTTGAAATGACGTCCAAGTGTTTATGAGTTATTAATTGGATCAGAGTTTTCAAATAAGAGCAATTGAATCGATTGGTGTCAATACCGGCAATCTTCATGTTAACAATACGCGTGCTGTTGAATCCATTAAGCTCTTGCAGTTGATTATTCCTGATTGAAAGCGATTTCATTTGATCCAACTGCATCGGGAGAACATTAATATCCAACGTCTTCAATCGATTTTCAGATAAGTCGAGCAATTGCAATTCCGTTAGAGATGAAAATACTCCTGTTTTGATTTCACTCAATTTATTCGCTGACAAATCTAGCTGCACCAACTCTTGTAATGTTTCAAATGAATCCTTTTCCAAAATACTGATTCGGTTCTTCGAAATATCTAGGCGTTTCAAAATCGCATTGCTGTCGAACATTTTCTTGTTAAATGCTGAGATTCGATTGTGGCTCAAGTCCAATTTTCGCAGAATAAGTTTGCCGGCGAATGCAAAGTCACTAATCGTACGAATTTTGTTGAATGAAAAATCGATTTGGGACATTTCGTCGTTGCTGTGAAACAGAAATGATGGAATTTCTTCTATTTGATTGTGTGATGCGTTCAAATTGATCAAATGGACAGCATCCGAAAACATATTCACTGGGAGGGATGTTAATCCAAGGTACGACATATTGAAAGTATGTAGATTATTATACACATTAAAAAGGTTTTTTGGAAGCTCTGGTTGTTCACAATCTTGAAAATTTATGGTTCCTATCCAAGCCTTGGAATATCCATTTGAGCCGGTTCCGGGTGTTATATAAATATGTTGATTCAAGCATTTTGATGAAACATCGGATTTAAAATAGTCATGTTGGCGACTACTTTCGACGCATACGAACGTTAAATTGCTTTCTCCAGAAACATCATCGTAATAATAACAATCGCCAATGTGCGGATATTTTTCAAAGCCATCAATTTCCAAATATTCAGCAAGTACTTGAGCTGTCAAAAAAGCTAAAGCAATCCAAATCAAATTGAGTTTCATTTTCAATAATTTTCAATTGAATTTTATTTTATTCAAATCTATTGGAATTTTTGTATTGAATTTTATGGTTCACATTTATGAACATCAATGGTCGAGCAACCGAATACGAGATTGATACAAAAGAAACCGAACGGTTTGACGAGCACTTGTGGACTGAAATTAATTTAAACTGATGATGATACGGTATATTTATTGCTGACTGTGAAATTTAATTGAAATTAGTCAGAACTTACTTGAAAAATAGTTTTTATTTTTATGTTTATTTCAATCTTAAAATGGAAAATCACATTAAAATGTGTCAGCTTTGCGTTCACTACCAGTTAATCAGTTTCGATTGAAATATCAAGTAATAACTAAAACAACGTCATACTCGCTCGATGCTCTTAATCATACGGTTAAAAACGTAAAAAAATCCTGAAGTTTCCATAGGGCGGCTGGTGACAGTACATTTCGTCACATTTTGAATTGCCGCGCTGTTTAGTTCGAATTTGAAATTGAAAATTACATTGATGTGCCCTTTGAAATTGTAGGGCGCTCGCGTCGTTCAATTTAAGTTAATTTTTAATAGCGTCTATTTGGAAATTTCATGTTTCATAGCTAGTCAACTCAATTCTTTTTTGGTGTAAGAAAAATGAAGCGATAAAATGGAGTGGTATGTAACGCAGTTTCGTTTAAAATTTTATTATTTCCATTTCTTTGTTTGCATTTTGAATGCATGTTTAATTTTGTGATAAAAATTTTAAACGAAAATGAATGAAACTGGTTCTATAAATAATTCAGAGTTAAAAATAATGTCAATGCCTTATTGAGTCATATTCAATGTTGACACGAGAAAAAAAATCAGAAAAAAATATTTACTCGTTAAATGTGTAGTACAATTTTTTATCCACAATCATTCAACATTGGATTACACAGTTTTGATTCATTTTAGCTCGTACAATTCATTGAAATTAATCATTGAATCGAGCACATTCTAAAATTAATGATCAATTTGTCTTTTAATCATCATTCATTTCATTCTTTTTGTCGTCATTCGTGTTTGAGAATCCTAGCATTATCATAGTGAGTAAGTGTGTGTTGTGATAATGGCATCGGATCAGTTTCGAATCTAAGTCGATCATATACGGTGGGCCTTTCTTTGATTTCCTCGTAAAAATGATTGGCTGGATTCACATTCTCCACATCAGATTTGATTGTTGGTTCATCTTGAGTGTAAACAACAGTTGTCTGCACTCCATTTTCCTTCGATCGCCTTCGTCGTACCACCGGAACTACCACAACTACAGCCACAACAGCGATAATCACTACACAAGGAGGAACAATATACAGTACCAGATTTGAAGAACCATCATGATCTGGAATATTGTAAGATTACACTTAAAAATTAGAACAATTTTTGAATGTTGCGCCAAAGAGGCTCCTCCTGTTCAAAATTTGAACTTTAAATACCTGGGTGTGTTGTTGTCGATGATTCAGTTCCATCAAAACATCCATCATCATAAAACATAGGGGATCTAATGTCTGATTGTATCCATTGTAGTTTAAAATTGTCCAAATATTTGCATGAGAATCGATTATTTGAAATATTCAACATGTGAATTTCCGGAAATTGTTCGGGTAAAAGTGTGTCTAACTCGTTCAAATCATTCATATCCAAATAAATGGAATTCAATGACATCACCGAATCCGTTGACAATAATGTAAAATTCACTTTCTTCAAGCCATTTTGAGAAATCGAAAGCCAACGCAGACTCCTAAGATGTTCAATTGCACTGATGTTGAAGCTGAGAAGATTTGTACGGCTTAAATTCAACTTAACCAATTGATTGAGCGTTGAAAACATATTCGAAATGATTTCACCCACATAATTCCCGGAGATATCCAGAGATGTCAGTGATGATGGTAACTGTCGTATCAAATCGCCACCATTTCCCAAATTATTATCACTCACGTCAAAATCCTTCAGCTTTTCAAAACGCTTCAACGTTGACATCGAATCCAAGTTTCTCAGGTGATTTTTTGAAATATCGAGCTTCTCCAATTGGCTGAGATGTCCGATTGTGGCAAAGTCAAAATTAACCAGATTCATTTCTTTCAAATTCAAGAATTTTAAATTAGACAATTCTTTGAATGTTTCTTCCTTAATTTCACCCAACTGATTTCCGGATACATCCAAATGATGTAATTCGATTTGATTTAAAAATGTGTTTGGTTCAATTTTTGATAAATTATTACGGGCAAAATACAAATGCTGAAGTTTCATCAAATTATCGAATATTCTTGGATCAAATTTTTTGATCAAATTGCTCAATAAATTCAGATATAATAAATTTCGAAGTGAATCAAATGTGCCCGTTCGTAAAATGCTGATTTTATTATTTGAAATATCCAAATGAATCAAACTCGTTTGATTTTCCAAAATTCCTCGGGCAATGATGGTGAGTTCATTGTGCGACAAGTTCATTTTTTGCATTTTGAAGGCGCCGGTAAATGCGAAATGGTTGATTTTACGGATTTTATTGAATGACAAGTCAATTTCGACCAATTTATCCGTTTTTTGAAAGAGAAATGATGGCAATTCCTCAATCCGATTGTGTGATGCATTCAGCTTGATAAGCTCTTTGGCATCCGCAAAAGTGTCCACTTGAAACAACTGCACACCAAGCGATGACATATTGAATGTCTGAATGTTGTAATAGATTTTAAATAAATCTGTGGGAATTTGTGGAATTTCGCAATCAAAAAAGTTCACGATTCCAAACCAATATTGGTAGAAACTTTCACCATTTCTGCACGTGAGCTGCCTGTCAACCATTTTCGTTAACTCATTCAAACGGATATTCTCGGTGCAAATGAAGGTGAAGATATTTTTCTTATCAAATCCGTTGTTTATAAAGTTGCAATCACCAAACTGGTGATACTTCGTTCCATGAACGGTATATTCGAATGAAAAAATTATCAAAATGAGGCAGTTTAAAATCGAAGTCATTTTGTTACACCGAACTAATTGAAAAGGCCGCCTGAATGAATGCAAATAATGAACCAGACTGGAGGACACAGTTGAAACGGTCTTTATATTTGGGATTTATCGTTAAAACAAAACGATTTTGATCTGATATTGATAATGAACTTTAAATATACAAATAAAAGTTGATTTAATGTTTTTTTTACATAAACAGTTACTTCTGAAATGAAAAAAAATGGAAGTTTCATGTTAATCATGTTTAATCCCAATTACTCAGTTTCGATTTGAATGTCAAACACGGGTCTTGATTGCTTTTTCCATATGGTGCTGAAGCGACATCTTACTGCGACAACGTAAGCTATATACTCACAACGGAAAGAAGTGGCATAAGAAAAAGAAGAAGAAGAAGTGCATGGTGTAAATTGAAGTTAACGTTGTCGCAGTGAGATGTCGCTAGCAGCAGTCATTTGACGGCTTTAATGTAAAGTAATACATGAAATCGAGGCTTGGTCAAACAATGTTTAAAGCAAACGTCACACTTCATATCGCCTGGTGTTCTTAATCGCATCGTTTTTAATAGGGAAATTCTTTGGAAAAATGCAAGAATTTGTGGTTTATGCTCGAAAACTATGCATTCCTTTACTTTTGGTGCACAAATGATTAAAAATCAAAGTAATTTGGATGAAAATTTTCAGAATTTCGATAAAAACGGACTCAAACTGTAATTTTTTCTAGTGGTGACTGGCATCGAACTTGATTTATCATAGTCACAATACAACGATGAAATGGCCACACATTGAAACGTGGTACTCCCTGTTATTCCACCTGCTCCATCATTCCATGTTCTTGTATTTTTAAAAAAACCAAAGAAATGTGGGAACAAAAATCTCAAAATTTATTCAAATAATATGCCAAGCTTGAACAAAATCTTAAATTCACATTTAAAAACTTGTTTTAGTTTCTGTCAGAGGGGAAAAAGACTTTTTAAATTAAAAAAGCAAATTATAAAAACTGAGTTTGAACTTTATTATTTATGCAAATGAAGACTGATACAGAGTGCAAATTTTAAGCTTACTTATCAACAGTTTTTTTTTAAATTTAATAATCTTTGGAAGTCATTTATGAAACGAATTAAGCTACACTTAACAATATTGACAGCTCATGGTATAGCTCATGCCAATGGCTCAAGATACGCTGGCGGTTCAGTGATGTTATTTCGTATTTCTTCGTATTCGTTTTGTTCAATGGATTTTGGTGGTTGAACATTTCGACGGTAAGTAACTTGCGGAAAGATATCTATTTTCTGCGATCGTTTTCGAATCAGCATCCAAACGAGTGCACTGATAAGTGTAATTGTCATGATTAATAGAAGCGTTGTGTTGATAATTAACAAAATTGTTTGCGTTGAATTCCTTGAATCTTCATTTTGGCTTTTGAAATTTTCATGAATCGTTTCGTCCACCTTTTTATTTAATGGATTTAAAGTTGTCAATTCATTACCTGAATTAGTTGGTAATCCATTGCCCGGGCTACATTCATTTCGGTTTGATACGACGTCCAAGTGTGTCCGATTGATTGATTGGATCAGAGTTTTCAAATACGAGCAATTGAATCGATTGCTGTCGATGCCAACGATCTTCATGTTAACAATACGCGTGCTGTTGAATCCATTAAGCTCTTGCAGTTGATTATTCCTGATTGAAAGCAATTTCATTTGATCCAACTGCATCGAGAGAACATTAATATCCAACGTATTCAATCGATTTTCAGATAAGTCGAGTGTTTGCAAGTTCGTTAAACTTGAAAAAACTCCCAATTTAATTTCGCTCAAGATATTTCCCGATAAATTTAATAGCTCTAATTTCTGACATTTTTCGAATGCCTTTTCTGCCAAAGTATCGATTCGGTTACTCGACAAATCTAATCTAATCAATTTTGCAGCATCCGAAAACAGATCATCTGGCACCGTTTCTAATCCAAGATATGACATATTGAAAGTGTGAATATTTTGATACACTTTAAAGACGTTTTTAGGGAGCTCTGGTTGTTTGCAGTTCGTGAAACTAATGCTGCCTATCCAATCTTTTTCATAGCCTTCCTTGCAACAGTTATTGAACTGATAAGCCTGATTTAAGCAGATTGACTTAACACTCGGTGTAAAAAAGTCATGTTGTCGACTACTTTCGAGGCAAACGAGCGTTAAGTTACATTTTCCACTGTTTTTGTGGGTATAATAATAGCAAGCGCCAATGTGCGGATATTTTTCAAGGCGATCAATATCCAAATATTCAGCGAGTACTTGAGCGGCGAAAAAAGCTAAAGCAACCCAAATCAAATTGATTTTCATTGATTGAATTTTATTCTATTGAGAATTCTATTTAAATTTTCGTATTGCCTCAATTTTGTTTTAAATTTTACGATCGTTATTGATGGACCCTGATGATTGAATACCCATACACTACTTATACACAAGAAACCGAACGGTTTGACGAGCTTTTGTGGACTGAAACTAATTTAATCTGTTGAAATGTTATTGAAATCAGCTAAAACTTACTTGAATAATAGCTTTATTTGTATGTTTTTTATTTCTAATGTGTCCAAAACGCATAAATACGGCATCGCATAAGGCAGTTATCGCATAATTATCGCGAGATGATTTTCTGCTTGCGTTGCTGCAGAATACGATATTTCAATAGCCGTCGTCTTGCGACACTCGCTTGCGTTCGCTTCGTTATATGTGTAAAGCAATACGAACGTGCGTCGTAAGACAACGGCTATTGAAATATCGTATTCTGCGGCAACGCAAGCAGAAAATTATCGCGCGATAATTATGCGATAACTGCCTAACGCGATGCCGCATTTATGCGTTTTGGACACATTGTTTATTTCAATCCTAAAATGGAAAATTATTTCAAAAATGTGTAAGCTTTGCGTTCATCCATCATTGTTGATCCGAATTAATCACAGTATTACGAATTAATCAAATGATGACTAAAGCTAAGTCATGCTTTTTATCGCTCGATACTACGTATGAATCACATCATTTCAAACGTTGAAAAATTATCAAATTTCATGTTCCATAGCTGATGACTCAAACCTTTTTCGGTGTAAGAAAAATTAAGCGATAAAATGGAGTATGTTGAACATTTTCTTCTAAGAATCGAATTTTATTGTCGAACTATTTCTTAAAATATTTGCATGATTCGTGGTTAAAGCGATACAAAATGTGAAATTCTGTTCAATAAAGGAGACGATTGGTTGGTGAATTCCGATTGCAATCATTTTGCACCGATGGAACAATCTCTTCGTATTCGTTATTTTCCACGCAATTCGACGCTTCAGCCGCATTTCGATGGTAAGTGACTTGCGAGGAAACGTTATTTTTGGGTGTTCGTTTTTGAAGCAAAATCCAAACTAGTGCGATTGCGATGATTACTAAAATCAGTGTGTTGATCATTAACAATGTAGTGTGTGCGGAATTGCTTGTGCCTTCATGTTTGGCTTCAACATTTATAGGATTCGGTCTGTTGCTTTCATTTTCTTTCGGTGGTTGATTCTTTTCGTCCGATAACGTTACTTTTCCTTCTGATGTATCATTGATTGGACTGCGTTGAACAATCGTTGTTGTTGTCATGTTGTCAGCCACGGTTGGTGTCGTTGTTAGAAGAGCGTCTGATGATACCAATGCTAATATCGATTTTGTTGTTGTTGCCATTGATCTCACTGTGGTCGTAAAAGTGGTAGCATCAGTGGTCGTACTTTCAACAACAGCACTCGAGCTACAATTGATTCGGTTTGCTATTGAATCCAAGTGTTTCCACGTGATTGATGGAAATAACGTTCGTTTCAAGTATGAACAATTAAATTGGTTCGTATCGATGCCGACGATTTTTGTGTTAGGAATAAGGTAGCTCGTAAATCCATTCAGTTCTCGCAGCTGATTGTGGCCTATCACAAGCAATTGCAATTGATCTGGCCGTGGTGTGAATACATGAATGTCCAATTTCATCAATTTATTGTGCGATAAGTCCAAAGAGAGTAGGTTTGTTTGATTCAAAAATGTCTTCGGTTCAATTTCCGATAAATTGTTACGCGACAAATTCAAATGTTGAAGATTCGCAAGATTTTCAAATGTTTTGTATTCCAATTTTTTGATCGAATTGCTCGATAAATTCAGAGAAACCAAATTGCGAAGCGTTCCAAATGTATCCTCTTTCAAGATGCTAATTCGATTATTTGAAATATCCAGATGTGTCAAGTTTGAATGGGCTTCCAAAATTCCTTTGTCAAAGCTAGCAATTTGATTATGAGATAAAATTATTTTTTCCAAATTAAAATCACCGGCAAATGCATAATCATCGATGACTTCGATTTTGTTGAATGCGAAATCAACTTCAGTTAATTGTTCGTTTTTGTGAAATAAAAATGATGGAATTTCGCTGATTTCGTTATTCGAAACGTTCAACTTGACTAATTTGGCAGCATCCGAAAACATATTCACTGGCAGCGATGTTAATCTCAATTGCGACATATCAAAAGTCAAAACTGATTTATACACTTTGAAAAAGTCACTTGGAAGCTCTGGTCGTTCGCAAGATTGAAAATTAATATGCTTAATCCAATGTTTTTGATATCCACCCCGGCAACAGCTAAACATGTGTTGATTTAAGCACATGGATGGAGCAGAGGTAAAAAAGTTATGTTGACGCGCGTTTTCGACACAAACGAATGTTAAATTTTCAACAGGGTCGTAGTAGTAACAAGAGCCAATGTACGGATATTTTGGAGGCGAAATGATGATATTTTCGATGATGCCCGCAGAAACTTGAGTTATGACAAAAACTAAAGTGAACAAAATTAATGTGGATTTCATTTTTAATGACTTTTTTATTTTATTTCACAAGGAACAGCCGAAGGGTTTGACGAGCATTTATGGACTGAAGTATATTAATTTGGATGACATTAGTTACTGTCAACGAAACGGAATATGTTATCAAATGTGTGGGTGCTGTGCTCATTAATCGCTTGCCATTTCAATTCCCATTTCGAACAAAGACCAAAGCCAAAGTCACACTTTACATCGTCCGATGCTCTGAATCACATCCTTTCGAATGAAGAAATTCGTCGAAATGTTGTGAAATTATGTGGCTAGTGCCGGATAATGATGCGTTCTTTTGTGTCGTGAAGGTTAACAAGCTTATGTTCGATAAAAACTAACAAAGTCGCGACAGTAAGATAAACTCAAGTTGTAATCTGGTGGAGACTGGCACAAATCTTAAACATTCTTATCTATAGTTCATTACTTTGTTGCATACTTATACTTTTGACTTTTCCGAAAACAGTTTTGTTATTTTTTAACTGATGCAATTCATTTGAAATTGCGAAATTGCATTTTAACTTGAAATTTTCATTTTTGAATGATGGCATCATTTCAAAATTGGAAGATTTTTTGAAGCACAACCTGAATCAAAACGACTCAGTGGCCATTTCTAATGCCATTCTTACCTCTTTTTTTCTCTCTTGTGCAACACAAATTGGAGTTTAGCGTCCAAAATAATTCATTTCACTCAAATTAAACGATAAAATGTAAATTCTTTACCATACCATGAATGAAACAAAATTATTGCATTCTTCCAAATAAATATTATATATTTTAATCAAGAGATTGATGGTTTACAAAATACTCATTGAAATCTATTTTTCATTTCATTTAACGCAAGACGTCTATGGCTTAACAAAAGTTTAGTGAGCGTTAGTAATTTAAAATTCAATAAATCTTCTTTTCTCGCTGGCAAATACGAGCAAAAATCAGCTTAATATTCAAGATATACAAAATAAAATTATCATTATTCTGACATAAATCGTGTAAAATAATCGTAAGTCGCCAATAGATTATGTCTAAATTTCGTATGCTCTCTTATCAATCACATCGTATCCGTTGTTTTCGATAACATTCAACGATTCGTGGTCACCTCGGCGATAGAGAACGCTGGTGAAAAAGTTTTTCTTGGGCAATTGTTTGTGAAAAACAACCCAGACCAACACAAGCACGATGATAATCAGGCAAATGGCATTGATCCACGTAGACACTAATAAACCTGATCCACTTTCATTATGTTCCTTTACCGTTGAATATTGTTTTTTCGCCTTTCCATCATCTATTTCATCTTCATCGAATTCGGTGACATCGCTGTAGTCATTGAAATCCGTTCCTTCATTGACCGTGTTGCATTCGATGAGCTTCGAAACGACGTCCACGTGCTTCCAAGTGAGCGATTGGAATACAGTATTGAAATACGAGCAATTAAACTCACTCATGCCCATAATTTTAGCGTTGGGAATTCTATAATTCGTGAATCCAATCAGTTCTTGCATCTGATTTTGGGCAATCGTAAGTGTTTTCAAATGCTTTGCTCGTGGCGGAAGAATGTTTGCATTCAGACTTTTCAATTTATTCTGTGCCAAATTCAGTACGCGCAAGTTGATCATCGATGAAAATGTTCCCGATTTAATTTCCCCTATCGAATTGCTCGACAAATCTAATTGCTCTAAATGCTTCAGATTTCCGTTTTTAAAAAATTTCCATTCCAAAGAAACGAGTTGGTTATGGGATAAGTTGAGAATTTCAAGTTCGAAATCACCGGAAAAGGTGAACGCGTTGATTTTTGCGATTTTACTGTACGAAAAATCAATTTCGATGAGATTTTTCATTGTGTGCAGCAAAAATGTTGGAATTTGAATAATCTGATTGTTCGATAATAAAAGTTGTTTCAATTCGACGAGGTGTTGAAACGAATGAACGGCTAATTCACTAATATTATTGAAGCGTAAATTTAAAAGCTCCAGTTGATTTTCAACAGGGAAAAAATCCGGATCGATTTTGCTGATTCGATTAAATGAAAAATCTGCTTCGATGAGAAATTTACAGTCGCCGAGCTGGTTTTTACCCAATTCAATGATTTTGTTCATTGAAGCATTGAACTTGAGCAAGTTCTTGGCGTGCTGACAACTGTTCATTTGTAGTGATGTCAAACCCAAATCCGACATATTGTACGTGTGCACATTGCTGTACAACTCGAATATATTACTTGGAATCACTGGCCGTTCACAGTCTTGAAAGTTGATCGTTCCTATCCACGGCTTCCGATATCCATCCTCGTATTCTGCGTAAAGATGCTGGTTCGCACAAATGGTTTTCGAGTCATCCGTGAAAATGTTGTGGTAAGCGGCACTCGAGACACAGATGAGCGTTAAATTGCAATCGGCAAACGAACCGTCGAAATAATAACACGAGCCAATGTTTTGGTATCGTGCCGAATGTGCCACATGAATCAACGTCAAAACGAATGGAATAAACCACATTCGATTCATTTTTACAATGGATTTTTTTGGCCGAAATTCAAAGAATAATAAAGATCTGATGCGATCACTTCAACGCAATATAATGAACTAATTTTACGTTTCAAACGAATCGCGAAGGTTGTAAGTGTTCCAGTAACACAGTAAACAAAAATATTTCCTCTGAATTGCGTGGGATTAACATGTTTATATCGCATTCGGTTCCATATTAAGACATATTAAGATGAAATTTTCATCAAGTATATGTAGTTTGTCGCCTGCGGCTCTGAATCACATCCGCTCAAATGAAGAAATTCGCATTGACTCGTGCAATCTAGTGGCTTCTGCAATGGATTTTGTTCCACATGAACATAGTGGAACGAAGGTTGAATCTAAGTCAATGTGAACAAAATAAACAAAATTCCCATTTGTGTTTCGATAAAATCTGCACTTCGTCCACACAAGTGTCGACTGACACGGATGTTGAGGTTTGTGTAAACAACTTTTATCATTTCCACTAAAGTTGGTTGAACAAAATTTTGCATTTAGACAACAAAATATCGTTAGAGTGTGATATCAAAGGCTAGGGGAATATCACGCTCCTGAATCTTGTGAGATATTTGAGATATTTGAAATAAACATCAATTGTATGACATATTTTCGAATATTTCGAATAAATAAATCAGATTTTTGTGGATTTTGGAGATATTTGAGATTTTTTGCATTAAATCCGAATAAATACATTTAAATATCATTGATAATCACAAAAATTCACAATTGTCCGCCGTATTCACAAATATCCACCATATTTCATACGACAGATTCTTAGAGATAAATTGGATTTTTTTGAAATATTTGAAATAATTTAAGCGTGATATTCCCCTAGATGAATGGATTTTTACTAATATAATTTTTTTTTAATTCGCACCCAAAGTTTTTTTTTGCCAATCAAATGAGATTCAAATAAAATTCTAATGAGTTCCAGTAGATCAAGAGATTAGATTTTTAAATTGAATGAAACGAATTTTTCATAAGCATTTTAATTTTTCCAAAGAGAACGATAAGAGAAGAGAAAACAAAATGAAACATTTGACCGAAGCTGCGATCTCAAATATTTAACTAAGAGCGTCAGAATACAAGAACAAAATTGCGGAATTCGAACTGAACGTGAACATGTTTGAAATGCAATTTTATTGAAAATATAAAGATTAAACGATACAATTTATGACATCAATTTAAAATATATGAAAACTGATTGTATCAAATGAAATTATGATATTGAATTCCATAAAAATTGTGTAAATATTTGCTAAATATACATATTTGATCAAAGTATGTTACTGTTCCGATGTTAAATGCCGTTAAAATAGAAAAACCAATTCATTTAGTGGATTCAAATCAGCTGGGGTCTAAATACTTTCAATGCCTCTAGCAGATTAATTTCATTTTGACGATAGAAAACATTAGTAACAACATTTCTTCTGGGTTTTCGTTTTCGCAGTATGAGGCATGTAACGGCAACTATAGCAATGAATAAGCAAATAATGCAAAAAACGACATTAATCCACGTTGTCATCACGAAATGTTTCATTAACTGTATATGATCACTTTCGCTATTTATTGAAACTGGTTTATTATTTGCCTTCTTAACCGACTCTTCCTTCCATGGATGAAGCTTATCGGCTGGAATTGGCACATTTTCTGCATTTTCTCTATTTATTTTTATTTCTGCTTCGGTTGTAGCATCTTCTGTGTATGGTTGTGTCGTCTTTTCAGGTACCACAGCGGTAGTTGTTTCAATGCTGGGCTCGGTAACATCATCACTTGAACTACAGTTGATTCGGTTTGATATTAAATCCAGATGATTCCAGGTAATTGATGGAAATAAAGTCCGTTTCAAGTATGAACAATTAAAATTGTTTGTATCGATGCCAACGATTTTTGTGTTGGGAATGAGGTAGCTTGTAAACCCATTCATTTCTCGCAGTTGATTTTGACCTATCACGAGCAATTTCAATTGATTTGGTGCTGATGCGAAAATATTCCAGAGATTGCAATTCTGTTTGATTTAAAAATGTGTTTGGTTCAACTTTTGATAATTTGTTTTGCGATATGTTCAAATATTGAAGATTCACAAGATTAACAAATATTTTTGGTTCAAATTTTTTGATAAAATTGCCGGATAAGTTTAGAATCACCAAATTTCGTAGAGTTTCAAATGTATCTGCTCGTAAAATGTTGATTTTATTTTTTGAAATATCCAAATGAATCAAATTCTGTTGACTTTCCAAAATTCCCTTGTCAAAGCTAGCGATTTGATTGTGGGAAAAGTTCAATTTTTGCAAATTATAGGCGCCGGCGAATGCAAAATCATCAATTTTACGGATTTTATTGAACGACAAATCGATTTCAATCAGCTCAACCATATTGTGAAACAGAAATGATGGAATTTCCTCAATTTGATTGTTCGACGCATTCAAATTCATAAGCTTTTTGGCGCCCGCAAAAGTGTCCACTTGAAATGACTGTACACGTATTGATGTTGTAATAGATTTTGAATAAATCAGTGGGAATTTGTAGCATTTCGCAATCTTGAAAATCGACCGTGCCAAACCAATATCTGTAGAAAATTTGATCATTTTCGCACGTGAGTGTATCTTCAAACATTGTCATTAATTTATTCAAACGGATATTTTGGGTGCAGATGAATGTAAAGAAATTTGTCTCAATAGTTTCCTTGTTTATGAAGTTACAATCACCAAAATGCTGATATTTTGTTTCCTGAGTCGTGTAGCCGAATGACAAAACGATCAAAATCGCAAATTTTAAAACGAATTTCATTTTGTTGGACGAAACTAACTTGGAAAAACGTCTGAACGGAAGGAAATAATGAACAAGTCTGATGAAGCTAGTAGTCAATTGAAGAAGTCACAGTAGAAGTAGGCTTTGAATTTGTGTGGGATTTATCATTCAAGTAACATGACTTGAATTTGAAACCGGTTGAACACTTGTGCTTCAAACACAGAAAAAAAATCAAGGAAAGGAAGCTTTTTATCAGCCCAACAAAGTAGTTTTAATCAAATAACCATATTAAGACGCATTAAAATGCAATTTTTTTCATGGAAATGTGGTTTGTCGCCTGCGACACTGAATCAATTCCGCTCAAAATAAGAAATTTGCTTAAGAATCGCGCAATCATGTGACTTGTGCATGATATCGATGGATTTAGTTCTAATGTTCATGTGGAACGAAGGTTGAATCTAAGTCAATGTGAAAGAAATAAACAAAATTCACATTTTTATTTCGATGAATTGTGCGCTTCATTGACTGTGATTCAAAAAGCCTTTTTCTACAATGAATATGAGCTTGTATAGGAAAAAAAAGCATCTTACTGTGAATTTATTAGTGACAAATAGCAATAAAAAGCGAGAAGATTGTATCCATATATTGAGTGTGCAAGACGGATGTAGATTAAAATGAGTGAAAGTACAATTTTTTCTGATTTTGCTCCGCTTCCAAACATCCAAACTGCAAACGGTCTTGAGTTTTTTTTTGAAAGTTGATTTAAAAGATGAAATATATAAAAAAACAGAAAAAACGAAATAATTTTCATTAGAAATATTTTAAGTAGAGTCGCGTTTACTTCAAAATTTTCCCATTCACATTTGCATTTCCAATTTTACCACCTTACAGTTTAAAACTTCACTTCCAAATTTTGATTGCCACCAAAAATCATGTTGATCAATGCAAAAACCATTTGTGGTGCAATTGCTTTAAACAGCGGCAGCAGTTGTCCACTTGCATCGGCTCTGTTTAGTCCAAATAGTTTACATTCATTGCGACAGACTTCACAGCTTTCCGAATCATTCATTTCCGCCAAGAGAGCCTTAATGATGACAGAAAACGTGTCGGCAATGGGATTATCGCTGATGTTTTGATTGTTATGTTCAAAGGTAAGTATCGCTCGAGAAATGCTTCGTTGGACAATGGAACGGATGAAATGTTCACGGGCTGTTCTGAATACGGCACGACGCTTTCTTTTGTTCGCAAGTTTTGGGGTTATCTTGCACACGTTTGCTCGACAAAATGCTTCATATTCAGTTGAAATGCGACGATCACGATTGGTCTTATGCAGTGATGTGGATTTGGCGCCAGAAATCAGTTTTTTACCTGTTCCGTTGAAAGACCTTCGCTTGAATCTCCGAGCAATCTTATAAGTAACAACTTTGAGCGGCCTTTGTTTCCGTTCGCGATAATAGCCACCTCGATGGACTTTGATGCCTTTTTTAAATCGAACTTTCATCAAGTGATCTTAAACTTCCGAAATAACATTGATCAAATTTGAAATTTGTTCTGACGTTTTTTCATGATTTTAAGCAAATGGCGACTGAGATACATGAGATATATAAGAATATAGTTTTGAATGAGTGAATATTTTTGCTTTTCATGTCGTGAACATAGACTTAGCATTCTGAAAAAGGAAAAGAAATTTCGAGTTGACTTCTTCTTCTTATTCCTCTTCTGATACCGCTTCTTCGCACTGTTTTGTGGCAATCGGCTCTTTAATGGAACTTGCTCAGCGATGCACGTCACTAGTTAATCGGCTGGTACACAGTACATTTGACCAGTTGCGACTTCGGTCAAACATTCGTTGTTGCGAATATGCATCAACGCATACTGTGTGTGCATGGCGCGCGACTTCTCATGAAGTGGCGCTTCGTCTCAGTTCGCGCGCTGTGCACACACGTTGTAACCTAGGGGCTTATGTGTCATACGAATCAGTGCGAATCAGTGCGAATCTCACGAGTCATTTCAAAACATATAGGCAACTGCACGAATCTTACGAGTTTATATGAAGATTCGCGAGTCCTTCACGAGTCTCTCATATAAATTGGCGAATCACTGAACGAAACTATGAAATGTCAACGAGCATGCCAGTTGAACTCACAATTCACTCAATAATCGACTACTAAATCAACTTTTTGTCATTAAAAACATTTATATTGTCACATTTTGACTGCAAGAAAATTAAAATTTTAAAATGGTTGGTTTCGAAATGTTTTTTTATTTTTTTAAGGCAGACAATAATGTATTTGATGTTTTGGGTGTTGAAATCCCGAGAAAAAAACAGTCTTTGCTTGTCGATCGACTTTGGCTCTTATTTACATAGAGAATATCGCTGAAATTGGTGGAATTCATAAACGAAAATCGTGAAATGTTAGTTGAATCTATTTATGAAAATATAATTCCATCCAAATTTTTGGCAACGCATCGAATCTTCATACGGAATATGTCAAGTTATATAGATCAACTAAAAAATTGTGAATTTGAACACAAAATGGATTTATCACAATTCCCGAATCCATCAAAATGCTTCATTCAAACAATTCAATCTGATGAAAATAAAAGTGTCGAAGCATTTTTTTTACACATTAAGTCATTCTCCACATATATTCATATGATGTATGGCAAATCTTGTTATAAATCATTAATGGTTGACTTGCCCATTCCAAAAATAAGTGCAGTTCGTATGTTTCATAAAACATTTCGTGGATCTTAGTTCCATTGTCAATTTAATACATTTCATTTTCAATTCACATCCATTCCAGTTGCCTATATTAAACAGAATAAGAAAAGAATTATAGAACACAAGCTGAGATCCGAATGGTTTGCAATGTGTATATAAGCTGATTTGCATCGACTCGCGGATTTGCTATAAATGCCATACACTTTCTATGCTATGACTTGTGTATATATTTGTATGAATTCGTTCGAGTCTTCACGAATCTCCGTAAATTGGTGCGAGTCAGTGCGAGTTACTGAATTCAGCGCAAATCATTTTTAATTTACATGAAAATCATACGAGTCTTGCTGACTCGTGACGACAAATAAGCCCCTAGGTTGTAACTGGTACACCATATACACGATTTACAGTATGCTTTGATTCGCAACAACGAATGTTTGACCGAAGTCGCAACAAAAGAATGTTTCATAAATTTATATATTATTTTTATTATAATGAATTAAAGAAAATAGTTATTACAATCAGTTTTATTGACAGAAATTTGTTTGAAAAAATGTACGATATCCCATTAGAAAAATATAGAAAATGTGGTTAAAATGAGCATCGATATTGATGATAAATTAAAAATAACTGAAATTTCGTTCAATAAAACATTGCGTCGTCACATTTTGAGTGCAAATGTTTTGGAAAAATCTCTTCATAGTCCTTATTTTCAAAATAATTTCGTAAGTCAGCCGTGTTGGGTTCGTAAACTACTTGTGTAAAGTGGCTTCTTCTCAATGTATTTTTGCATAGACAGTACGAAAACAAAACGACTATGATGACGATCAGAGCTGTTGTATTGATTAAAAGAGCGATGAATATAAATTTATGGGATTTTTCGTGTTTGGCATCGAATTTTTGATCTCTTGAGTCAATGCTTCCATTTTCTTCGGTTGATTGGTGTATTTCTTCCAAAGTCTTTTCTCCATTTGGATCAAAAGTCGTTGTTACGTTCTCGGTGTTGGTTGATTTCAATGTGGGTTTTGGCGTCGAGAGAATCGGTGCTGCTGTCGATGTCGAAATAGTTGTAGGCCTTATTGTGGTTGTGGAAAGTTCATTAGCTTCTGTTGTTGTACTTTCAACGTTCGAACAGTTGATTCGGTTTGAAATTGTGTCCAAGTTCTTCCAGCTAATCAACTGGAGCAGAGTATGCAAATACGAGCAATTGAATCGATTGCTGTCGATGCCGATGATCTTCATTTTACCAATATGCGCGCTATTAAATCCAATAAACTCCTGCAGTTGATTATTCTCAAATGAAAGCGATTTCATTTGATTCAAGTGCGTAGGAAGACTATTCGCATTTAATGTCTTTAATCGATTGAATGCCAAGTTTAGCGTTTGCAATTTCGTTAGGGATGAAAAAAGGCCTGGTTTAATTTCAACTAAATTATTGCCGCAAATGTCAAAATGTTTCAAATGCGACAAATATTTGAAGATTTTCTCATTCAAATCATTCAATTTATTGTGAGATAAATACATTTTCTCCAAATTGAAATCACCGGCAAACGCAAAGTCATCAATTGTATTAATTTTGTTGAATGAGAAATCGACTTCAGTCAATTTCACGGTTTTGTGAAATAAAAATGATGGAATTTCCTCTAGTTGGTTGTGTGATACGTTCAGCCTGATTAATTTGGCAGCATGCCAAAACATATTCACCGGCAGCGATGTTAATCCAAGGTACGACATATTGAAAGTGTCAAGATTGGAATACACTTTAAATAGGTTATTTGGAAGTTCTGGCCGTTCACAAACTTGGTCGAAATTCATACTGCCCACCCATGTTTTTCTATACCCTTGGCTGTTCAATTGTTGGTGATTCAAGCAAATTGATGAAACGTTCGATGTAAAGAAGTTGTATTGACCATAGCTTTTGACGCAAACAAGAGTCAAATGGCTACGACCGTATTTTGGATGATCGTAATAATAACAGGCACCAATATGATGGTATTTAGAAGGATTGGCTATGTTTTCAATCGAATACACTTGAGTTGCCCAAAGAGCGAAGGCAAATGAAACTAATTTAATTTTCATTTTAACAAATTTTTGGGAATTAACATTAAACAATTGTTAGAAATTCAAATACACTAATTTAAATTGTAATGTCTTTTCAATTAACACTGTTTTCTCAGTGATTATTCTTCTTAACCAAACGACATCAATTTCACTTCTGAAGTGATACATTGGCCTAATGAAGTGTCAAAGTTAATCGTAAAGTTGGTGTCAGTCGAAAATGTCAAAATATGAAATTTCGAACGTTAGTAACGGTTTAAAGTCAACATAACCTCGGAATAAGGTAATACATTTGCTTAATGTGAAAGAGTTGACAACAGTAAATTGCATTAGACAACGCAGTCATGGTGCATGTGCATGAAGGTGTAGAACATTTTATGACGCGGTTTTGACAGTTTGAATGACATTTCCACCAGATTCAGTTTATATAAAAGGGATATAGGATTTTAGAATACTACGATAACACCTATTCCCAATTATGACTTTTGTTTTCATTTGATTTCCATGTTGTTTGTTTTGTTTGAGCTATTTCATAATTGACCATAGATTGAAATATTTGAATCAAAATTGAGACACTTTTTTCGGATCTGATGTACATAGTTTCATAAAACATTGCTGATTAAGGTGGGAATACACCTTGCAAGTGAAATGCTTGCAGCAAGCATTTTTTTCCAACGTACTTTTGTATTCGAT